AAAAAAAATGTATGCATACATTGTTACAGGACAGGGAGAGAGGGGCACCACTGAACCCCCAAACCTGCCTGCTCTAAATAGGTTCTGCCATCCACCACATCAAGGCAAAACATATAAGACTTTAACGAAAAGGGACTTTAATACCGTGAATATACAATACGGAACACAAAGAATATAATTTCTTAATCAAACAACTGAGGTTACTCATCCCCTCATGGGCAAAAGTCCACCCAAAAGGGACTGGCCCAAAGCAAGGCCTGTAAGCCTGTGACAAGACTAAAGCACCTTCTGGCTGGGACCCATAGAAAAGGGTCAGAAATGGCCAGACAAGTCTGCGAGGAAAAGAGCAAAATCAAAATCAATATAAACACTGCCATAGTCAACCTCCCTATGGGTGTCTCACACACATCTCTTTCAACCAGTCCGGGGCCAATAAACAGGGTTTCTTCACATGTCTCCTTTTGCTCCATGTGGCTTCCTCAGATCTCCTTCTGGCTCTCCATCCAGCTTCCTTCCTCCTCAGATTCCTTCTCTTTTCTTTTTTTCTGCTCAGCTCCACCCTCCTTCTGGGTGGGGCAGGGAACCTGGAACTTCCCCCTTTCCTAGGGACCACAACGATGTGACTGGGCAAAGATCGGATCCTTCCTGGTCAAAGTTGAGGACTAATAGAAAAGAGGGTTTAGAGGACTAAAGTTTTGTCAAGGAGGGTATTTGTCATTTCTCTATTTCACTCGGAAACTGCCCCCCCCCCCCGCTATGAACATAAGAGTGTCAATGAGCTAATGCATGTAAAACTTTCAGTACATAGCCCTCTATGTAAAAGGCAGCAACTTGCTGTGTGGGGATTAAAACTCAGATCAGGTGGAACGTCCAGGCTGCTATATTGACAGCAAAGGGGCTCTAAGGACGGAGCTGCAGGTGATCAGGAAACAGATGTGAGAGGGCTGGAAATGGCACCGCAGAAGAGCGGGTCTCAGCCAGCCAAGTGGAGTTGTCCAGGCGGAAGTGAGCCGAGATTGGCAAGATGTAATGGGGTGTCGCATGTAAGGGGTCAGAATCTGGGGCTGTGGGCCTGAGTCCCGAAGCCTGACTGGCCCCACCACCAGCGCGCTAGGTGACTGACCTGCGCAGCCCCACAAGACCACCTCCTCCCGCCGACTGCAGGGCTTAGCGTTTTCGCCCACCTCATAGCAGCCAATCGTTGAACTGTGGCGCATCCGGGAGCCGATTCAGCCAATCGCGGTTGAGCAACGAATGACACCGCAGGGAGGCGGCCAATGGGCGCGCGCACTCGGAGGCTACTAGGCAGGAAGGGTGTTTCGCGGCGGCCGCTAGGCTGCTGCTCCGCGCGCCAAGACCTGGCTCCGGACTTGGGCTGGTAGTGCCTGGTAGTGCCACGGAAAGCGTGAGTCTGGAGTCCGGAACGGAAGGGGCTCGGCCGGGAGGTCTTCCGAAAATGAGGCCGGTTGGAGGCGTCCAGAGTAGCTACGCTTGGCAGAAGGTGGATGAAACCTTCCGCTTCCTCGGGACTGGCCTATACCCCTGTGTGCACTCTGCGGTTCCTGCAGCTGCCGGGCGGCTTTGGCAGTTTGAGGGTTCGGGGTGTGTGTGTGTGTGTGTGTGTGTGTGTGTGTGCAGGCTTCCTTTGTGCAGATTTCTTCGACCTCATCTTCAGATGGGTCTGGACCTAATGGGAACGAAGGAAGGAAGAAATGGACACTCAAAGACACACTGCAATACCCTTATCTCAGAGGTTAATAGATAGTAATAGGCCCTCCCTGGTGGCGCAGCGGGTTACAGCGCAGCACTGCAAGCTGGCGTGGCCACTTCAGTGTGAGGTCTATCCCTCTCCTGTCTCACCCGCTGCTCCCCTCAGCAGGGTACTAAGTCAATCTGCCTGCCCTCCTCCCCACTCTGACTGGTGAATCCTCTCACTGCCCCTGCACCTCTGGCCTGTACGTCGGTTCTAAAAGCATAAATAAATAAATATTTTTTTACAAATAGGTAATAATAGCGACTACTTACCAAACGCTTCCTGCATGCCAGTCTACTTGGACCCTTTTCCTTTCTCATATCATCAAATCCTCCCAACATACATTTACAGGGCGAGACTTAATTATCCCCATTTTCCAGATGAGGAGCAGACTTAGAGTAATGATTCCTGAGGAATCCGTATTGTGCTGTTACAACACTCCTTTTTTCTGTTTTAAGTCAGTAACATCTGGGAGTCCCTGACAGACCTCCCTTGGAGACATTGGAGACATCTGGATGGTGAAGCTGGGGACTTGGCTTTTGAAAAGTCCTGGAGCTGGACTTAAGAGAAGAGCTGAACACATTCCTTTCTAGACTAGGGGTTTGGCAGAGTTAGGGATCCCTCATGGTGTTGGATGTGGGAGGTAGGTATTTTAGTCTGAAGGAAAAAAATGATTAGGATTATGAACTCAATAGTAATGTTTTAATCTTGTTTTTATCATTTTTTAATGCCTGTATCAAGATCAGTGCCTAACCTGCAACATGCAGAGCTGCCTTGAAATGTTCCAGTCATCTTCCAACAGCAATACCCTCCGCATCCCTGTTTTCCAAGTGAGGAAACAGGCTCAGCATGGCTAAGTGACTTGCCTGGGTTGACACAGGGGACAGGATCTGTCCTCAGGTACCGTTCTGCCTTATTATTTTGGAAAGGTATGTTCAGAGCAGACTTTTATTTTGGTGTCAATTTGTCCAATAACAAAAGGGGTTTTTAATGTAGTAATTATGGCAGATATAGTAGATGAGAATGCATACCTCAGCTCCACCAAACAGATGTGGACATTGAGGTTTAGGGAGGTGGATTGGGTATGTAACATTGCAAAGCGAGAGGCATCCAGAATCTTCTCCTCAAGCCTCTGAACTAGTAGAGGATTAAGGTGTTAAATGGGACCTCCAGCTGCAACCTGGGGACTCATGCATGCTGTCTCTTCCCAGTCAAGCCAGCTGATAAGAGCATGCCTCTGTGCCAGTGGGGTGCCATCAGCAAGGCCAGCAAACAAAACAGGGATGGAGCTCAGCCCTTGGCCACCACCAGTGGAGGCCTGAAAGTGCTTCTGCACTGGGCTGGCCCTAGTGGTGGTGACCCCTGGGTCATCTTCAGCGAGGACACCCTGATGGCAGAGGAGATTTGTATCCACATCGCAAACAAAGTTGGTGAGTCCATTGGTGGGGTTGGAGGAGCTGTCAGCCACTGAACCCCATCCATCACTTCACTGCCATTCACTTAGAAAACACTTTCTGAACACCGACTGTGTGCTGTCCCCAAATTGCTTCTTTGTTGAGCCAATATTCTCATTGGGAAACCAACAAGAAACATAGTTAAAAAAAAAAAAAAACAGGAGGATGGAGGAAATGAAAAACTTGATAGAAGGGAGGATCCATGGGGATACCTGGGAGGGGGGGGGAAGGAATGGTACCAGTCAGAGGGATGGCAAGTACAAAGGCTGGGAATTTTCCAATAATATTGAATTTAAGTTGGAGACCATCTATATATAGCTGAGGTGTTCCAGGAGATACATATGAAAATATTCAGTGCTGCCTCACTTTTCTTAGAGAAAAGTAGGAGACTGTCGCGAGGTCCCTCTACGAAACAGTACACAAATGAGTTCTACTATGGCCTAGTACTAGAATACTATACAGCTAGGAAAAGAAATTGAAATTATACATCATCTCATGAGATGCTTTAAGACCTAATGTAGCTTGAAAAAAGCAAGTTGCAGAAGAACACCCATAAAATAACACTGCATTTAGAGTTTATAATATTCAAGACTAGATCATAAAGGATGTGAAAATGATAATCACCAGTTCAGGGGTATTGTTGGTTACTTTTTTGTGGGAGGAGGAAGTAGGTGACTGTAGGCAGGGGATTCGATTGTAATACCCAGTTTTATTTCTTTATTTGGTAGCTGATATTTTGGTGATTATGAATTATTCTGAATTGAATGTTTTAGATAACGTTTTTAAATGATGCATGCATATAAAAGGAATTCCTTACTTGGCCATTGTGGGGAATGGCAGTCAGTCTTGATGCTGGATTAGGGTTGGGCTTTAGGTTTGAAAGAAGTGGGTAGATCCTAGAGATACAGAAGATGTAGAAAAACATCCTGGCCAATATGATGTGGAGGGGGTGGGAGGAGTTGAGGATAGAGGCCAAGTTTCTGGCCTAAAGAACATAGTAAAAGAGGAACAAGTCCAGGGGTCTGTTTGGAACTGGGCACATTAAGGGGCCTATTGAATATTTGTTTGGATCTGGAACTCAGGGAAAAGCTAGGCAAAAGGCTAGCGCTTTGTAGAGTTGTGTTAGTTTAGAATAGGTTTTACTGTTGTAACAAGCAGCTTCCTCTAATTTTCTTGGGTCAACAATCAAGGTTTACCTGAAATTTAATGCTGGTCTAATAGTTCCCTGTTATCTTGTAGCTTTGCTACTGGCACTGGCACAAGTGGCCTCCAATAATTCTGGGACCAGATGGCAAGAGGATTTGTTTCTGGGCCAGGAAAAATGCACATCCATTTTGCCAATATCCTGTTGGCCAGAAACTAATCCAGTGACCTCAGGCTAGGAAATGTAGTCTTCCTATGAGGCACGGTCAGTATATTGCATTGTTCTCTGTTAGCAGGGAAAGAGCATCAGAGGCCCTCTGAAAGGAGATAGCAGGTATTGGGGGTCCAGAGGGTGAATAGCAGCAGATGCGAACTACTGACTGTTTCTTCTCTCCCCAGGCATCACTCCACCCTGCTTTAATCTCTTCGCCCTCTTTGATGCCCAGGCCCAAGTTTGGTTGCCCCCAAACCACACACTGCAGGCCTCTAGAGATAAGAGCCTAATATTGTACTTCCGTATGAGGTAGGTGAAGGCCCATTGTCCCCTTTAGTGCTGGCCGCCTCTGCCTCCTTTCCTTCCCAGTTGTCCTGGAGTTGGTCCGAGTCCCTGCCAAGTGCCAGCTGTGCCTGTTCCCCTTTCTACAGGTTTTATTTCCGGAACTGGCATGGCATGAATCCTGAGGAGCCGACTGTGTACCGTTGTGGGCCCCCAGGGACTGAGGTTTCCTCAGAACGGGCAGAGCATGGGGTGCAACTTCTGGACCCAGCCTCCTTTGAATATCTCTTTGAGCAGGTAAGAACAGGGCCAAGAAAGAAGGATTATTTCTAGAGGGCTTATGGGTATTTCAGGACTCCCAACTTCTCTCCCCAGTTCAGAATGGCCAATAGGCTTCAGCTCGTGTCATGTGGTATCCTTTGCATACCTGAACCAAAAGTTCTAGTACTCTTAGAGTTACATGGGAAAGAGTGCCATTATTGATTAGTCATGTCTGCCATAGTCATCGTCATAGTCATGCATGCTGTCCACTTGGTCTTTCCAGAATTTAGGGGTCCCTCCCCTGCCCAAAGCTGGGAAGTGAGCAGATTCTTATGCCTTTTTTTTGTCCACATTCCCCTTCCCAGGGCAAGCATGACTTTGTGAATGATGTGGCATCGTTGGAGGAGCTGTCAAATGAGGAAGCGATCCACCACTTTAAGAATGAGAGTCTGGGTATGGCCTTTCTGCATCTCTGCCACCTTGCTCTCCGCAGTGGTGATCCCCTGGAGGAAGTGGCGAAAAAGATCAGGTATCTGGGAATGGAGTTGAGATGCACATGTAGAAATCCCCTGGGCACCTATGGACCAAAGTAGACATTGCACAGTCCTTTGATTTCACCAAACATTGATTGAGCATTTACTGTATCCTGGTACTACTTCTGGGTATTGAGGACCCAACAGTAAACAAGTTACACAAAAATCCCCACCCCTCCTAAAGCTCACTTCTAGTGAAGGAGACAATAAACAAAATACAAAAGGAAAATTTAAATTATGATGAGTGGGGGGGAAGTGAAGCAGGAAAAAAGGAAGCATCAGGGATTGAGGGTTGTACAATTTAAAACTGGGTAGTTGAGTAGTTAGCTGCTCCCTGAGGTGACATTCAAATTCAGAGATGTGAAGGAGGAAACCATAATGGTATCTGGGAGAAGAGCATTTTATAAGAGGGAACAGTTGGTGCAAAAGATCTGAGGTTGGACTATTCCTGATACTTTGGGAGAGTATGGCTGGAGCAGAGTAAGCCAGAGGTGATAGGGGAGAAGGTTAAAATGGAATGGTGGAGATGAAGCAGCTCCTCAAAGCTCATTGGCTTGAAGAGCCCCTTAGAACTCAAGAGAAGGAAAAAGACAGGAGTCAGGTTGTTGAGAGCAAAAAGCTATGTTCACCTCTACTGCAGTGAGGGCTGGAGTAATCGGGGCATACTGCCTGGAGGAGGTAGCAAAAGGGCTGGATTTTCCAGGGTAGAGATTGTTCTTAAAGCACATTTTTCTAACATTGTTTTTTTTTTTCGCTCTGGAGAACTAGGTCTGTAACAGTGACATTTCTGATAAGACATGAAGGTTGAGTCAACTTTATCTAGACACAGATTTTGCATTGGCAAAGCATTTTAGGCCTGGAAAACAGTTTGTACAAAGGTCCAGAGGGAGAAGGTGGCAAAGGCTGGTTTCAAGGAGAACTGAACTTGGAATGCAGTTGCCCAAGTATAGGAATTAACTGGACAAGTGGGGACAGGAGGCAGCTAGAACCTCAACTTTAGGATCCATCTGGCCCAGAGTGGGATGTGGAGACCTGGACTTGTAAAATTATGATCTAGGTGGTCAGGTGATGGGGGGCAATTGGATAGTAGGTGGGCCTTTGTCATCAGCAAAGGGACCTCCCAGATCTGTGCCTTGTATTGCTAATAATAATGTTAATGATAAAAGCAAAATAATTTTGGGCCTCCTTGGTGGCCTAGGGGTTAAATCTTAGTTTTATCACCCCTATGGCCTGAGTTCACTCCCCAGCCAGGGAGCTGACACACGTACAGACCTCTCCTGTGTCGCCTACTGCTCTCCTTAGATTGTATTTTTATAGATCCACTGTTCTGCTCTCTACTTTGTCTCTGGTGAATTCTCTCAAACCCCCTCCTCCCGCCACCTGCACCTGGGGTCTATATCCCACTTCTTCTATGCAAACAAAAAGAGCAAAATGACTTCTCCCGTAACAGTAGTACTTGACACTCATAGTGCTTGTTACATGCCACTTAGTCGTCTTGATTCTCTCCTCAGCACTGTGGGCTGCTGTGTGATCCCATTTTACAGAGGATGATACAGCTTTTTAGACTATAAAGAAGTTACCTAGAGCTAGAATTTTAGCCCCGAGTCTCCAGAGGTCTATGCCTGGGACCCAACACCAGCTGGCATCCTTCTGCTGTTCCTTTACCATCTTCTTTACACCTTCACAAGATCCTATTTTTAATTTTCTTCCCTTTTTTTAAAGATTTATTTATTTGTTCATACAGACCTGGGGTACGGGCCAGAGGTACAGGAGTAGTGGGAGGATTCACCAGAGACAGAGTGGGGAGCATAACAGGCAGATCGGCGAAGTACACTGCTGAGGGGAGCAGCGGGCTGGTCAGGAGAGGTCTGCCACGCCATGTGGTCACCTCCAGGCCAGACAGTGATTGAAATCATGCTGAAGTGGCTTTAGCTTCCCAGTGCTGTGCTTTAACTGCTGCGCCACCAGGGAGGGCCTATTTTTAAATTTTTAAAAAAGATTTATTTTGGGCTCTTCCAGGTGGTGCAGCAGGTTGGAGCACTGCACTGCAAAGCTAAGCCAAGTCATGGCCACTTCAGTGCGAGGTCGATTCCCACCCTAGAGGTGACCCACATGGCGCAACAGACTTCTCTCGCCTGCTGCTCCCCTCAGCAGTCTACTTTGTAGATCTACCTGTTCTGCTCTCCACTCTGCTCCTGGTGAATCCCCTTGCTGCTCCTGTACCTCTGGCCTGTACCCCATTTCTGTATGTATAAATAAATAAAATCTTCAAAAAAAAACACAAAACATTGGGTTTAAAAAAAATTTTTTTAATTGAAACATATATAGAGCAGAGGTACAGGGGGTGAGAGGATTCACCAGAGATGGAATGGGGAAGCGGAACAGGCAGACCTACCGAAATACACTGCTGAGGGGAGCAGCAGGAGAGACAGGAGCGGTCTGCTGCACCATTGGGTCAGCTCCCTGGCTGAGATCGAACTTGTGCTGCAGTGGCTACAGAGAGCTTCATAGTGCTGAGACTTAATCCTTTGCGCCACAAGGGAGGCCCCAAGAGCCTGCTTTTTAGATAAGGCAGCAGGGGTTCAGAGGTCAGCCACTGAGGCAGACTTGCCACACAGCCCCTGCAATGCCTCTGTCCCCACAGTTTCCAGGACTGCATCCCATGCTCTTTCCGGCGGCAGATCCGGCAGTACAGTGTGTTGACAAGGCTGCGCCTGCGGAACCTCTTCCACCAGTTCCTGCGGGACTTCCAGCCAGGCTGCCTCTCCCAGCAGGTGGTCATGGTCAAGTATCTGGCCACACTGGAGTGCTTGGCACCCCGCTTCGGCACAGAGTGCATGCCAGTGTGCCAGCTGGAGCTACTGACCCAGGCCGCGGGAGCACCCTGCTTCATTCCGGACAGTGGTCAGGCCCTTCCAGAGCCTGCACCAGCACCCACTGCCAGGCCCCCCACCCACGAGGTGCTAGTGACTGGCACTGGTGGCATCCAGTGGCGGCCATTCCCAGCAGTGGTGAGCATCCATCTGAGGGTCCAGGTAGGGTAAGGGTAGAGGGCTCCTGCCCAGCATCGGCCTTGGCCTCTGAGGGTGGCCTTGGTAAGCCCTCTACCCCCGTGCTCTGGCATGTGTCTGCTTGTCCTCTGGCATCTGTTTCCTGGAGCCTTCCACCTGAGGATCTGATTTCTGGGCTCTGCACTTTCTGGCTTCTGGTGGTGAGAAGGTTAGGATTCTCTTCTCTGTTCTCACCAAGGTGTGTTGACTTCTGGCCTGTGTATCTCTTGGGGGTGGGCCCTCTGTCCTGTCAATAACACCAGCACAAGGGATGCACAGGGAGCTGTCTGGCCCCTCCAGTTGCTGTCTGTTCCTAGGAGGGGACTAACCTGGCATAGCCCGGCTCCATCCACCAGCTCAGTGTGCTGTGTTTCCAGGGGCCCAGCGGTAGTGTCAGGAATCGCCCTGCTGGTCGAACTGGAAAGAAAGCTAAGGCCCAAGAAGGGAGTAAGCAGCCAGCAGACAAGCCACGGGAGGCACCGTGGACCTACTTCTGTGACTTCCACGACATCACCCACATGGTGCTGAAAGAGTGCCACGTCAGCATCCACTGCCAGGACCAGTTCTTGGTGGGACCCCAGGGCTAGGACCTGACTGAGGGGCCCTTTTGCCAGCAGGGCTTGCCTGACTTCCCTCTGACCCTCAGGAGCTGGCTCTGCCTTCCCGGGATGCCGCCCTGTCCTTGGTGTCGCTGGTAGATGGCTATTTCCGCCTGACGTCGGATTCCAGCCATTATCTGTGCCACGAAGTGGCGCCCCCGCGGCTTGTGATGAGCATCCAGGAGGGTATCCATGGACCCCTGCTGTGAGTGTCTGGGAAGCAGGCAGGCGGTTTGGGCCAACTAGGCCTTGAACTCTTGAGGGATAGTGGGACATGAGCAAGGTGTGTGCCTTCTGTCTCAGCATCTGAGAAGTACATGTGTGTGTACACGTGTTCACCTGTGTTCGCATATTGTGTCTTGGCATGTGAGTCCGTGTGAGCTGTGTGCCGTTCCGCGGTCTGTGTTGGTGCTTACACTCCTGCAGGGGCATGTCTGTCCTGGTAATTTTAGGTCACTGAGCAATTCTGTCTCCCCTTCCGAGGCTGGGAGTGTAAGGCGTCCGTGCTTATGTGGACGTCGGTTGTGCATGTGGCCATCCTCCAAGCCAGCAGGCCAAGGTTTGTGAGTGTCATTTCATCTGGTCGTTGGCCTTGGGTGTGCCCTTGTCATACCTGTGACACTGGGACTGTCCCTGGGTATGCCTGAGGTGTCTGTCTGCTCTGAGCCTGTTCTCCCCTCTGGGGGGCAACATGGCTGTTTCCCTCTCTCTGGCTGTGGCTAGGCCGAGCCATGACCAGCACGTGCCACCTGTACGTCCTGTAGACTGTCACAGTCCTGTAGACGGAGGGGCTAGGAACAGCAGTTGGTCTCGCACTTCTGGAGGCGGGAAGTCCCACATCCAAGTAGACCAGCATGTGGTGTCAGATGATGACAGCAGCTTCTCCCTGTGACTACAAATGGCGAGAGTAGCGAACGATCTCTGAGGGTCCTTTTTTTTTTTCCCGTTTATTGTTGGTTTTTTTTTTATAATAGTTTATTTTTACATCCTTTTGTGCCTCTTTCCATCTCAGTTGTTATCCCCGTGGGCTTTCCATCACCAAATCACCCGTGTGCCATCACCATAGTCCAGTGCACTTCCCCCCCCAACCCCCGTTTTTGATCTCTGAGGGTCCTTTTTATAAGGGTGCTCATCCCACTTGTATGGGTTCCACTGTCATCACCTAGTCACCCCTAAATCCTCTCCTGAGGCTGTCACATTGGGGGTTAGGTTTCAGCATGTGACTTTTAGGGCAACATTCAGTCTGCAGCAACATATGAGTCACCACATGTAGCTGTCTGGGCCTGTGGCTCCATCACCTTGCAGCGCACACCTGTGCTGGTGTGTGTCACCTCCAGTCTGTCAGGAGCCCTGTGCTGCCTCATGGCAGTGGGTGAGTGGCTGTGCGGTCGCTGTTCGCTGGGTACGCAGTGGACAGCCCACCATGCACCACTCTGGCACAGCCGTGCCCTTGACCAGGAGTGCACCCATCCAGCATCTCATGGCTGTCTCCTATCTGTGTGTCACCATGCTGGCAGCTGTGTCTAGCAGTTGTCACACATAAGCATGTATCTGTTCTTGTCCCTATGTTTTTTTTGGGTATGTGACAGTCTTATATTTCTGTGTGTCTATGTCTAGACTCGGAGTCATTGCAGAAGCAGCTCTGTAGACATCTGTCCCAGATGGGAGTGCCCCTTCAGGCAGGTTTCTGTGTCCCAGTTGCCAGCAGCACCCCAGTGCTGACCTTGTTCCCCTCAGGGAGCCATTCGTGCTCGCCAAGCTGCGCGTGGAGGATGGCCTGTACCTCATTCACTGGAGCACCAGTCACTTCAGCCGCCTCATCCTAACGGTGGCCCAGCGCGACCAGGTGGGCTCGGGGCACAGGTCTTGGGTAGGGGCTGGCTCTACTCCCTGCCTGGACCCCTGCTCATTCCCACCTCTGCCACATACCTCAGACACCCGGTGCCCAGAGTTGGCGTCTACGCAAGTTCCCCATTGAGCTGCAGGCCGGGGCCTTTACACTGGAGGGCTGGGACCGGTCCTTCTCCAGCATGAGGGATCTGCGGGCTGCCCTACAGGGCTGCTCACTGCGAGCTGGCCAAGACTGCTTCTCCCTGCGCCGCTGCTGTCTGCCACAGCCAGGAGGTATAATGGGGCTCACAGGGTCGGGGAAGCGGATAACATCTTCTCCCCCACCCCCTAATCCTTAACCTCGTCTCTACCCCCAGAGTTCTCCAATCTTGTTATCCTGAGGGGGTCTCGGGCCAGCACCAGACCACCCAACCTCAGCCATCTCAGCTTCCATCGAATTAGCTGGGACAAGATCACCCGGGTATGTGCAAATGGGGACCTCCCCCGCTCCCCCACCAGGGACCTGGGAGCACTGGGAGGGGCAACCAAGAGCTGTTGTCAATGGAGATGTTCTGTGCCACATTCTACCAGCTGTCCCACTTGGGCCAGGGCACCAGGACCAATGTGTATGAGGGCCTCTTAGTAGTCACAGACAGAGACCACGAGGACAAGACAGATGGCGGGGGCTTTGGTCAGGACCTGCGAGTGATACTCAAGGTGCTGGACTCTAGCCACCACAACATTGCCCTGGTGAGTAAGCACAGCCATGAGTGGTGAGCTGCGGGTGAGGTGGGCCAGCGTCTACAGCCTCCCCTGACTTGTGCCATCCCCACAGGCCTTCTATGAGACAGCCAGCCTCATGAGCCAGGTCTCCCACGTGCACCTGGCCTTCGTGCATGGCGTCTGTGTGCATGGCTCCGAGAGTGAGTAGGCGCTGTCACACCTCTTGAACTCCACTGATAGATCCACTCCTTGGGCTCCACCCTGACCGTCAGCCTAAGTTCTGACCCTGATTGCATACTTGGAGCCACTGCTGATCCCTTTCTACACTCTAGTCTGTGATTATTCAACACCCATGCTCTGCAGGGTACCTAAACTTCCCAAACCTCAACCCCTACTCTGTATGTACCTCAGAACTCTGTACAGGGCAACCCTAGCCAGCCTCCAGCTGACCTGAACACACCTTTCCATCTCTCCTTCCCCACAAAATGGTCTGTGCCCTGAAACCTGCATATCTACTTGCCCAAGAGCCCAAGGCCTGTGGGATCCTATCACTGATGCCTCAACCTGGAGCTTTTGTCTGCTTCCACCCCCCCACCCCCGTTCCATCTGTACCTTTGCCCCTTCCATGTCAGCCTCCTCTGTGCCCCATTCGCATCCTTGACCTCTGCCTTACTCTGCACCCACCTCAGCCAGCATTTATCAGAACCACTTCAAGCACCCTTCTGCACAGCTCCCCCAAACCCTCCTTCCCACAGTCCAAACTCCCCTGCCCTTTCCACCCTAGGGGGTAGGTAGCAGCAGGTGGGTGACCCCTGTCCTCTGGGTCTTTGCAGACATCATGGTGACTGAGTATGTGGAGCACGGGCCTTTGGATGTTTGCCTACGGCGGAGGAGGGGCTGTGTGCCCGTGGCCTGGAAGGTGGCGGTGGCCCAGCAACTAGCCAGAGCCCTCAGCTACCTGGTGCGTGGTCTGGGGGGAGGGGCTCACATTCATCAGTCTACACACTGGCCCCAGGAGCTCTGTCTGTAAACCTCCTCTGCTCACATAACCCTGTGGGTCCCCTTCCCCTGAGAGAACAGCCAGCTCCTCTGACTGGGACTGTGGGGCCTGTGGGCTTGGCCTCAGCCACCTCTGTCCTTTGTGGCCATTATTGCTGGTCCTTATGGTACATTCACCCCAGTTTCCAGAACTCCCCCTTCATTCAGGGTTTACTGGATACCCCCTGTGTACTAGGCCCTGTCCTAGACCCAGGGACAGAGAGAACACAAGACAGACAATAGTCTGTCCTTGAGGAGCTGGCCTTGAGGACAGATTCTATAATATGTTTAAAAGTAGTAGGAACGATGGGGAAGAGCTGAAGCTGAAAGAGGAGGGTTGGGAAGAACTCTTATTTAAGTTACCTGGAGGTGAGGGAGGAAACCAAGGGGTGCCAGGGAAGTGCATTCCGGACATGTGCCGCGGCTGATCTGAAGGCCTTAGGGGAGGCGCTGCTTGGCATGAGTTTGAGGGTAGCTCTGGGGTCCTCTGGCCTCTGTCCCTAACCAGGAGCCTTAAACACCAGCTGTGGAAGAATAGGAAGGACCTAGTTAGCACATGCTACTGAGTCATGACTGTGCATGGGGTACCTCATAGTGATGGTTTGTTACATGAGTTTTCCCTGTGTGGGGCTGCATGACTAGGGTATATGTGGGGTTCACCAACCTTCAGTCACCATACCCCATTTCTCCTCTTTCCTCTCTGGCCCCTACAGGAGGATAAGAGCCTAGTCCATGGAAATGTGTGTGGCCGGAACATTCTTCTGGCGCGGCTGGGACTGACAGAGGGCACCAGTCCCTTCATCAAGCTGAGTGACCCTGGTGTGGGCCTGGGGGCCCTCTGCAGGGAGGGTGAGGACCCAGGCTGGGATGGGCATAGGGGATGGGCTTTCCCCATTCCTTTTTCCTCTGACCTCTGACCCTGGCTCCCAGAGTGGATAGAACGGATACCCTGGATGGCCCCCGAATGTTTGTCTGGTGCGGACAACAGCCTCAGTACTGCAGCTGACAAATGGAGCTTTGGTGCCACCCTCCTGGAGATCTGCTTCGATGGGGAGAACCCCCTGCATGGACTTGGCCCCTCTGAGGTAGGAGCGAGGGACTCCTGGGCCCTTCCTAGGGAAGGCACACACAAGGTCCAGCGCTGCCTCCCTTTTCTCTGGCTGTACAGCTGCACGTGTGGCCACTTCTCTTGGAGGTTGTCAGTTCATCTGTCAGTTGAGGTTAAGTATAGCTTTCAAACGGTCATCACAGCAGAATGCAAACAAGTAATGTGCCTCAATTTTCGGAAGAGACCAGGACAATGATGGAGCAAGCCTCTGACCTAGATGAGGGGGTCAAAGGTTTTCCAGGGGAGGTTTTTTTAAAGATTTATTTATGCATACAAGAACTGGGGTACAGGCCAGAGGTGCAGAGGGCTAAGAGGATTCACCAGAGAGAGTGGGAGCAGAACAAGCAGATGTACTGAGATACACTGCTGAGGGGAGCAGCGGGTGGATCAGGAGACGTCTGCTGCGACATATGGGTCACCTCCCTGGCCGGGCATTAAATTCCTGCTGTGATGGCTGCGAATAGCTTCCTAGTGCTATGCTTTAACCCATGGTGCCTCCAGGGGAGGTTTTAATCTAAGTGAAGAAATACTGAGTGACCTGGGCTAGGATGGGCAGTGTAGGCAGAGGGCATGGTGTGTGCAGAGGCCCTGTGGCCTTGGTATCTTCAGCACTCTGCAAGTGCTGCTCTCCTTTGGTGGAGAGCAGGGGCTGGTGGAGTCAGGGCAGGTGGGCCCAGTGTGGGATGCTCCAGTGCAGCAGTATCCTGGGCAGGGCCTCTTCCTTGGCCAAACCTCACTTGCCTTATGTGTAAAATAGGAACAAGATCAAGGACCTTGCTGGCCCAGCCCTGCAGCTCTGGGAGTTTTTGACTCTGCCTTCTGGAAGGGCCAGGCTCTGGGTCCCCTTAACTTCTGTGGACTTTTCTTTCCCACAGAAAGAGCACTTCTACCAGAAGCAGCACCCGCTGCCCCAGCCTTCCTCCCCAGAACTGGCAGTGCTTACCAGCCAATGCCTGAATTATGAGCCAGGCCAGCGGCCATCCTTCCGCACCATCCTGCGTGACCTCACTCAACTGCAGCCCCAAAGTGAGCCGCACCCTAGTGCTGGGCCCCTGGGAGAAGGGAGCAGGGCTGGGACTCCTGCGCAGTGCTGGCAAGGTCTCTGCATAGTGGCTCAGTGCCAGTTTCTTTCTTTTTTTTTAAAGATTTATTTATTTATGCATACAGAACTGGGGTAAAGGCCAGAGGTGTAGGGGATGAGAAGACTCACTAGAGACAGAGTGGGGAGCAGAACAGGCATGTCTACTGAAATGCACTGCTGAGGGGAGCAGTGGGAAGGACAGGAGAGGTCTGCTGCATCGTGGGGTCACTCCCTGGCTAGGGATCGAATTCCTGCTGCAGTGGCTGCAGGTTGCTTTGTAGTGCTGTGCTTTAACCCGATGCGCCACCATGGAGGGCCCTCAGTGACAGTTTCTAACTCAGTTCAGGGTATGGGGATGCCCTGGTATCTCCTCTTTGCTTGGGGAGCACCACAACTTCTTGAATGAACTTTTTTGTGTTCCTTTTGAAGAAAAGCTTGTACCCCAGTGTCAATTTTGATATAGCCAATTCTGCTTTTTTAGCAAGAAGTAAGATTTTTTTAGCTGTTGCAAAAATAATTTTTCCCCCCATATCTGTGAATCAGATACTGGGAGAAGCAGTGGCCACTTTCTACATCCCCAAGTATGGGCCTTTTGGGGGAAGAAGGTGGTGCTCAGCCTCACCCACTGTGACTCTCTTAGATCTTGTTGATGTTTTGGCTGTGAAACCGGACTCACCAACGTCAGACTCCACCGTTTTCCACAAGCGCTATTTGAAAAAGATTAGAGACCTGGGCGAGGTGAGAACCACCGGGTGGTCCTGGGCTGTTATATGCACTTCCTAGTGGGAGAAAGGGTGAGACTTAAGGGGTGCACTACCTCAGGTGACTCTCCTGGCAGGTGGGTGGGGGCAGTGTAAAATCTGTCCCCTTCAAGGGAGGGGGTCTTAGGCCCCCTAAGAGAACCTCCAGCTTTCCTAACTGGTGAGCCTGGAGGCAGCGCCAGGGGAGTCGGGGCTGGGGCTCACCCCTGTGCACTGTGGCCAGGGTCACTTTGGCAAAGTCAGCCTGTATTGCTATGACCCGGACAACGATGGCACTGGCGAGATGGTGGCCGTGAAGGCCCTCAAAACTGGTTGCAGCCCCCAGCTGCTCACTGGCTGGATACGAGAGATTGACATACTGCGCAAGCTCTACCACAAGCACATCGTCACGTACAAGGGCTGCTGCAGCCACCAAGGTGGGTGGGGTAGGGCTGGGGCTTGGGTGTGGCTTTGCAGGCGGGGCACAGGCCCTGGCCAGGGAGCGCCTCTCCGTGAGACTGAGGGACACAGCCTGTAGGCACTGCAGCAAGTGTACCGACCATCTGGGCCAGAACGGGCCGGGCCCATTCTGCTCCCCTGCCTGACTAAGGGATTCTGGGTGGGTCCCCTCACCTGAGCATTTTTTCCTAGAGTGGGTGGGCCTTTGCCCACTCCCACCTTGGGGCAGGATGAGAGGGAGCTACAGAGTTCTGGGTGGACAGCCCTTGCCACTGTGGCCCGCATGCCCTCCTCCCCCCAGCAGGGGAGAAATCAGTGCAGCTTGTGATGGAGTACATGCCTCTGGGCAGCCTCCGAGACTACCTGCCCCACCACAGTGTTGGGCTGGCCCAGTTGTTGCTCTTCGCCCTGCAGATCTGTGAGGTAGGCCGTTCCCTCCCTACTCCTAGAACCTGCTCCCCTCCTCTTTGGCCCGCTCTTAGGGCCCCACCCCAGCTGTGGCCTGATCCCACTGCTGGGCTGTTGGGCCTGCCGCCCACCCTGACACTCTGCTTGCTTGTCACCCCTCCCCTGACAGGGCCACCTTGTAGTCCCACCCTTGCTTTCCAGGCTCTGCCCCCTGCCATCCTGCCACTTCAGTCCCAGCGTGGCCCTCCAAAGCCTGACCTGCTGTCCCCCAGGCATCCTAATCACTCCTCAGGCTCTGTCCCGCCCACTGACTTTGCCCCCCTGGACCCCAGGGCATGGCCTACCTGCACTCGCAGCACTACATCCACCGAGACCTGGCTGCCCGCAACGTGCTGCTGGACAACGACAGAATGGTCAAGATTGGGGACTTTGGCCTAGCCAAGGCTGTACCTGAAGGCCATGAATACTACCGCGTCCACGAGGATGGGGATAGCCCCGTGTTCTGGTGACCAGGCGGGACCCAGCAGAAAGGGGGGTGTCTTGGTCACCTGGAACAGACAGGGTGGAGATGATGCGAAGGTCCCCCCAGATGAGAAGCCTGGTCTCAGTGTAACTGCCCTGCCCCTTAAGAGTGGGGCCACTGGGTGCAGAGGTGTCCTTACACTCCAGGTAAGAACTTTAGCCTGGTGTGGCCCCAAGAACTGAGTGCCCCCTCTCGCAGGTATGCCCTAGAGTGTCTGAAGGAATGCAAATTCTACTATGCATCTGATGTCTGGTCCTTTGGGGTCACCATGTATGAGCTGCTGACCCACTGTGAGTCCAGCCAGAGCCCTCCATCGGTGAGAGTCTGTTTACCTTCCTCCCCGTGCTACAGGATCTCAAAAGTCATGCATTCAGTTCTCAGCTCCCCACCTAACCAAGCTTTTAACCCACTTAAGCCTTACAGTCCCAGTCTGTAAAATGGGCAATTTCCAGCACAAGGGGCTTTGATTAGACAGAAAGCCCACTCAGCGGGACTTAGAGAAGGGAGGACCAGATTATTCTGCCATTCGTAAACTCCAGAGAAGCCTGGGGGCATAGCTTGCTCTAGACCCTTAGATATCGGGAAACTCATCCTCACCTGCTGTTCTTCCTGGTGGTACCGCAGGGAAGGACTCCCTCTATTGTAGTAGCTGTGTCTCCTTCACCCCTCCACAGAGGACCAGTGGTCCTCTTTCCAACATAATGCTCAGCTTGTGTCATATTTGGCTGTAATCACCTCTCGAGCCACAGGCCACAGTAATTGGCCAGGCCTGGGCTGGTGGGAAGGGTTGTTCCCAAAGGGAAGGAGGGAAATGATTCTGCAGAGGCAAAAACAACCTGCTGGAAGGCCTAATAATAGCTGCAAACCCCTGATACAGACTTTCTCCATTTTAATTTTATGTAACTTTTGTAATAACCCCAAGGGGTGCCTTTGATAGATGAAAAAACTGAGGCCAGAGAGGTGAAGTCATGATTCTAAAGCCATGTAACTGAGTGCTGGAATGAGACTAGCACCCCTAGTCCTGCTGCAAACCTCTGACCTCTACCTAGACCTCCCTCCCTCTTGAAAAGAATTTGTTTTGTTTCTTCTATAGAAATTCAGTGAACTCATAGGCCTCAACCAGGGCCAGAGGACAGTGCTGAAGCTCACTGAGCTCTTAGAACGAGGAGAGCGGCTCCCTCAGCCAGACAAGTGTCCCTCTGAGGTGAGAACCACCCCCAGGTCCCTTCCCCCACCACCTGGGGCTTGAGAGAACATCAATCACAGATTCCAGTTTTCCTTCCCTAGATCTATCTCCTCATGAAGAACTGCTGGGAGGCAGAGGCCTCGTTTCGCCCGACCTTCCAGAACCTCATCCCCATTCTCAGGACAGTCCATGAGAAATACCAAGGCCAGGCCCCCTCAGTGTTCAATGGATGCTGAAGCCCACTGGCAGCTCTACTTGGGGAGATGGGAACAGATGGTGCGCACAGAGAGAGACTCCCGCTGCCCACACAAGCGAAACTCAATATGAGAGCATGGCCTCATTCACACCGCCTGACTCCCGTTGGAGGCCTCACTTGTGTGAGCTGACTTTGCTGTGAGCTGACTTAATCCCTTCAGCTGCTGTAAGCCCATGGACAGGGTGGCTTACAAACAACAGACATTTATTTCTGCCAGTTCTGAAGCCTGGGAGTCCAAAATCAGTGCATTCTAGTGAAGGTGCCCTTTCTGGTTCCTGCTGGTTCATAGCTACTCATGCCTGCCTGTGCTCTCAGAAGGAAGAGGAGGATAGAGTTCTTACTGGGGTCACTTTTGTATAAGATGTTAATCCCATTTGTGCAGATTCCTCTCTCATAACCTAAGCACCTCTCAAAGGGCTCCACCCTCTAATATTACACTGAAGAAATCCAACATGAATTGCAAGGGGACATAAACATTCAGACCATAACACCTTCCATGGGTGAGCCTGAGCCAGGCCTCTGAGGGACTCAAGACAAGCAAGGAGCCAACCAGGCTCTTGAATCTGATCTTTTACCTCCTTCCAGCTCTCACTTTCTCAACTTGCTGATAATAAACTCACTATTTCTGCAGCCAGAACATGTGATTTGGATCAATCGTCAGCCAGGGTCTTCTGTCCTGGGGAATTGCATTTTGAGCCAGAATAAACTATTAAACCTTTGCTCACCTCAAACAGCCAACTAGCTGACTAGTTTCAGGGAATACAGAAAGTACTCAAAGACTGCCAATTTCACCTTCTCTGTGCGGCCACAGGCAGGTGGCTTCCTGGGCCTCAGTTCTCAGCGGTGAACTGGGACTGGTCATACTTGCTACCTTGCAGGAAAAATATAAAGACCTAATGAGATCATGTATGTCAAACTTTCGGCAGAGATATATAAACAAGGGCTTAATAAACATTCGATGATGATGGCGTTTGCCAAAGTACCTCTACTTCTTATACCAGCCATATAGATTATTTATATAGCCACACATTTTGTGAGAGGTTGTTAAATATTTTCATTCCCATAGGATTTAAGAAATTATAGCTCTCCCAACCAAAAAGTGCCATACTATCCTAATAAGTTGCTTTTTATAAATTTTCAAAGTAAAATATTCATTATAATTATGAATTTTTTTAAGATAGGTAATATTGACATAAGCAGCGAAATACTCTGTCCATCAGCTGCCAGTATCATCTCCCTAGAGACAGCTAATGTCAACTGGTTTCCTATTTTTGCTTCCAAAAACATTTTATTCAGATACAAGGAAATCTGTGCACATATTATGTTCCCATCTCTTCCAAAAATAGTAGCATGTGCTACTCTACAGAGCTGTGGTCTGTACCTTGCTGTTCCCCACAACATGATAGTAGATCTTGGAGACAGTTCCCCTTAGCAGCATACATTGTCTCTGTTTCAATATTGTGGTGGTGTTGAAATCCATCATTTAAAAATTAACAAATTTGGCCCTCCCTGGTGGCGAAGCGGGTTAAAGCACAGCACTGAGAAACTAAAGGCACTTCCTCATGAGTTCGATCCCCGCCTGCCCCGGAGGTGACCACATGGAGCGGCAGACCTCTCCTGACCTGCCCGCTGCTCCCCTCAGCAGTGTACTTCGTCGATCTGCCTGTTCTGCTCCCCACTCTGTCTCTGGTGAAGCCTCTCGCTGCCCCTGAGCCTCTGGCCTGTACCCCAGTTCTGTCTGCACAAATAAATAAATTAATTAACAAATTTGCTCCCTGTTGGGATTCATGTCGTCCTTTCTAATCCACTGCCATCCCCATGTTGCTACTACAGTAAGTAACCATGTGTGCATGTGGTGCCAGCCAAGTTCAAGGGTATCTGTAAGAGAAATACCCAAAGAGATTGGAGTCTGGCAACTAGAAAAGACCTTGCCACTAGAGTAATGACAGGGTGGTCTTATTTTTTAAAAATTGTCATGACTTAGCAGGAATATAATGGATCAGGCGAGAAAATAATAATGAGCAGCTATATACCAGAGATATTTTATGGGGGTGGAATGGGGAATGGGGGTTGGGGTGTAGTAAACAGGACTGTGGTTATGGCACACTGGTGATTTGATCATGGGAGGCCCACAGGAATTACAACTGAGATGGGAAAGGGCACAAATGATGTAAAAATAAACTATTATTTTTTTTAAAGTTGTCATGACTTAAACTTTTGTTATGGACAATTTAAGCATATGTAAAACCAGGAAGGATGATGTAATGACCTTGCACTTAACCAGAGACAGGATGGGGAGCAGCACAGGCAGATCTACTAAAATATGCTTAAATTGTCAGAATTTTCTCTTTAAGAAAGAAAGAAACCATTTTGTTTATTCATTTGTCAAAGGGCCCTTGGGTTGCTTCCATCCTTTGTAACCAGTGGCTGAAGCCAAAATACTGTCACAGGTGGTGCCCCCTGGAGGAGGTTGCTGGTGAGGATGGATAGTCCCGGGGCTAGTGGCTTTAAGCATTTGGGGCTAGTGGCTTTTGGCCCCCACTGCGCTGATCTTCCAGAAGGCTGTTGTGGGCCTCTGAATGGGGAGACCTCCAGCAGCCAGCCTCAGAGAGGATGACTTCAGAGGCTATATGATTAGCAGAGCGACTGAAATTGTTCCCAGTTTTGCTGCTGCTACCGCCTGGCAGGAAAGATGAAGAACTGGAGCCGGGTGCTTCGCTGAGCTGTGGGAGTGTGGCTATTTGTCAGGTCGTGCAGCCCCTGCAGCTGCTGTCTTGAGTGTTGCTTGTTTGGTGCCATGCTGGGGTGTCTTAACAGCTCTGGGAACATCTGTGTTGTGCCTTCTGTTGTATTCGTGAGTTGGAACCTGGTCTATAGTCAGGCTGCCACGTGCTCCAGGTTGGCAGAGGCAGGAAGACGCCATCTTGGACATGTGACCTATTGTTTGGGAGAGGAGCTCCATGTCCTCAGTGGTGGTGTTAAGGGGAAGGATGTCCTAAAGGAACTCTGCAGAGTTTTGTGGACTCCACCCCCTACTCCAGTGATGGAAACTACAACTCCCAGCAGTACCAGGGAGAGAACTGCGAGGACCCAAGGGTGGAGCTAAGCAGCATTCTGGGACTTTGCGCGGTAAACAGGGAGTGATTTTCAAAGGCTCTGGAGGAGAGGCAACGGTTTTCTTACTTGGGCAACGGATCTCGGGATTGTCCGACTGGGGTCTAGCAGTTAGTTACTAGAGCTCCAAGTCAGTGAGCAGGGAAGATAGTCTAGTTAACTTGTATCTCTCTTTCTCTTTCCCTCGGTTGTTTCCTTTTCCTTTCCCCTTTTGTAAATAAACCCATTATTGACCCTTTTGTGTGTGTCTGCAGTACAACTGAATTTTAGGTACGTGGGTGAGGCCCCATAGACAGGCAACCCAGTTCACACTGGGGTGCCCTGTAACAGTGGGAAGACACCATCTTAGCTGCTTTTGTTTAGGACTTAAAACACTGGACACAGATTTGGGTGAGGTAAAGGCCATTTTTGGCCTCAGTAACTCTTTGTTTTTCCCTGGTTATGCTAGATAAATCCCATTGTTGTTCCCTGAGGCTGAGTAGTCTTACAATTGAGCACAGGAGTAAAGAACTCAGACAGCAACCTCGCTGGTGGTGAAACAGGTTAAAGTGCAGCACCAAGAAGCTTGCTGCAGCTGCTTCACTGTGAGTTTGATCCCTGGCCAGGGAGGTGGCCCACATGGTGCGGCAGGCCTCTCCTGACCTGCCTACTGCTCCCCTCAGCAGTGAACTGTGGTGATCTGCCTGTTCTGCTCCCCATTCTGCCTCTGGTGAAGCTTCTCACTGCCCCTGCACCTCTGGCCTGTACCCCAGTTCTGTATGCATAAGTAAATATATCTTAAAAAAAAAAAACCTGCTGGTAAACTATGTGGGCAGTAACCTTGGTGAGTTTAGTGCCCTCTGCCACCCTGTATCATTTTGACTGCTGTGAATTTTGCTCTTGGGAACATTGGTATACTAACATCTGAGTCTTGATTTCAGTCTTTCTGGGTAGATACCTAGGGGTCAAATTGCTGGATAATTCATAGTGTTTTTAGAGAAACCACTAAACCTTGCCATGGTAGCTGTACCATTTTATATTCCCACTAACAGATAATGTGGGTTCCAGATTCTCCACATCCTCACCAGTATTTACTATTTTCAGTTTCATTTGCTTTCTTTAATAGTAGCCTTCCGAACAGACATGAAGTGGGATCTCATTGTGGTTTTTCACATTTCCCTAATGGCTGATGGTGCTGAACAATTTTTGTGTTTATTGGCCATTTGTATAGCTTCTTTGGCATGATGTCTTTTTAAGTGCTTAGCCCACTTTTGAATTGGATTTCTTAGTTGTGAGCTGTAGGACTTCTTTAGTATCTGGATATAACCCATTATGAAGTATTCTTACAAATACTTTTGATTTGGGTTTTATTTGATCTTTCAGCTCCATGTGGAAAATAGATTCTTTGCTAGGTGTGCAAGGCTGTGGAGGCGAGCCCTTTGTGGCAGGGAGAGAAAGGGGTCTGACCTCAGAGATGGGGAAAGTGCAGCAGTGTTGGGTGCCCTCAAAGCCCTCAACAAGTTCTCTCTTTAAAGCTCAGGTCAGAGGTACAAGGAGCAAGGGAGTCCCAGGATATTGAGTAGTGGTGGTGGGAATGCCCACATGGCCTTGGGCCCTTCCTTGGGACAAAGAGAGCTGATACCTGGAGTAAGCAAGGAGGAGAGAGGAAAGGAGTGAGGATTAATTACAAGTAGTATTGTAAGCTGCCTATCTGGGTCTCTAGCTCATGCCCAGAAAGCCAAACTCTGAACTACAAGAAATGTCTTTACTTGGAGTTTATTTGAGATGGCCAGCAAGGGAGTTGGGGACAGACACTATCCCAAAAATTAAAACCCAGCTCCCCGATTGGCAGGAGTGCTGTGATTATATAAGGAGGATTGTGAGGGGAGTGTCTAGTGACTTGAGTCATGGTGTTTGACTTTCCCAGCAGGATATTTTTTCAGTAACCAGGAGATTTTTGTTACTGATGCTACTAGGAACTCAGAGAGACAGAAAATTTTACGGGACATAACACAATTCATTTTCCAAGTTCCCAGGACTGCAGTGGAGCCAGTTATTTAATCTCCAGGACAGGGAGAAGGAAGAGAACAAAGGGTGGGCACAGTTTATTTTCACGTAGGCCTAATTTTCAGTATAGGAGACAATTTTTTGTTGTTGTTGCAAAAAGGAGAGGATCCAGCTACAGTATCCTTGACAGACAGTGGCTCAGGATTTAGCTTCCTCCAGCTTCCCTGACCCAGTGCGTACACCAGGAATGGAGGGACACCCCCGCACGTCCAGCGGTAGCTCCCCCAAGATTCTCAGTCTCATGGGAGTACTGTGGTGGTCAACACAAAGCCTGGCACGAGTCCAATATATATGGACTTAACATTCTTATGGCTTCACTAATCTTAGGGGCCCCTCATTGTCATCCCCAAATCTCTTATTTGCCCCCCAGGACTGTCAAAGATCTCATGTTTACCCCTTAAGGCCCTACTGAGAATCTTCCTCCCTGTTGTCCCTTTGAAAAATCCCACCTTGTCACTACTGTGCCTTTGGGGCCCCCATCAACTTCTTCTCTGGAAATGAAACACTTCCCTTGATCTAATTTCTAGAGGAAGAAGGTGGCTCATCTTCCTCCACCCCCCAATCTACCCAGTGTTGAGCAGAAAGGAAGATACCTGCGTCAGGCAGCGGTATTGCTGGTGGGAGGAGGGGGACAGCAGGGTAACTGAGGTCTGCCCTGTGAGAGACTCACTGGCACCCTTGGCCCTACTGAGGCCTACATGGGTCTTCCATGTAGCTAGAGTGAACCCCCGTCCCTCCTCAGGTCTGGGCAAGATGCAGTCTGACTTTTGTAATCTTTTTTTTTTTTAACTTTTTAAAAAATTTTATAACAGTTTATTTTTCCATCATTTTGTACATTTTTTCCCCCATCTCAATTGTAATCCCTGCAGGTTTCCCATCACCAAGTCACCTGTGTGCCATCACCATAATCCTGTGCACTTCCCTTCCCACCCCCCCATTTTTGATCCCATTCCCCACTCCACCCCCGCAAAATGTCTCTGATATATGGTTCATTATTTTTGTTACTTTCTCGCCTGGTCCATTATACTCCTGCTATGAGTGAAACCATCCGGTATTTTTCTTTCTCTTTCTGGCTTATCTCACTAAGCATGATCTTTTCCAGCTCCATCCAAGTTGCTGCAAAAGACATGTGTTTCTCTTTTTTTGGTTGCTGAGTAATATTCCATTGTATATATGTACCACATCTTTTTTATCCACTCATCTACTTTTGGGCATTTGGGCTGCTTCCATGTTTTTCCAATTGTAAATAAAGCAGCAATAAACATGGTGGTACAGGTATCTTTTTCAATCAGTGTTTTTGTGTCTTTGGGTAGATACCTAGGAGTGGGATTGCTGGGTCGTAGGGAAGCTCCATGTTTAGCAGTTTGAGGAACCTCCAAACAGTTTTCCATAGTGGTTGTACTAGTTTGCATTCCCACCAGCAGTGCAGGAGAGTTCTTTTTTCACCACATCCTCGCCAACATTTGTTGTTGCTAGTTTTTTGAAGATGTGCCATTCTTACTGGGGTGAGGTTGTATCTCATTGTGGTTTTAATTTGCATCTCCCTTATTACGAGTGATGTTGAACATTTTTTCATATGCCTGTTGGCCATCTGCATTTCCTCTTTGGAGAAGTATCTTTTTTAGCTCTTCTGCCCATTTTTTTTGATGGGGTTGTTTATTTTTGTTGAGTTTCGTCAGTTCTCCGTATATTTTTGTGATCAGTCCTTTATTATTACTTTTGTGTGAGAAAATGTTTTCTCACTTAGTGGGCTGTTTGTTTTTTTGTAATGTCTCTTTTGCTGTACAAAAGCTCTTTAACTTGATGTAGTCCCATCTATTTATCTTTGCCTTCACTATTGTGGCTTTGGGTGCTCTGTCTTTAAAGATCTGACTTTTGCAATCTTAACTGCTGCAACTTCCCCTGGGTCACCCTCCCTGCTTCCCTCTACTTTGGCCACAGCCTTCTGCCTGCAAGCTGGCCACCATGGTAGCCTCAGCGCCACTGTCTGGGCTCTGCTGGATTCTGCTGGTCTCTCTGCTTCTGGTCTGTTATGGGTTGCCCTCAGGTGAGGCATGGCAAGCCAGGGTGGGTTGAAACTGGGGGGTTGGTGGGGAAGGGGGAATGGAAAATGCAAAATTCTTGCTGCCTTGGCAGCTGCCAGCACTTCCTTATACTTAGCTATGGCAGGGGCTCACCAATGTCTTTGAAATAGTCTCTAGGGCTCCCAAAGGTCTCTCCAATATGCTCTCTCTCCCTGCTCCATGGGGATGAGCCCTCTGCCTATGCTCCTATCTCTGCCAGAGTCACACATTTCTTTCTAACGCCTATGTATCCTTCAAAACTGACCATAGTTACCCCCTCCTCAGGAAGCCTTCCCTGACTGATTTCCTTTTCCAGGCTCCTTAGGCCTACCTATTCTGGCCTCTGTTTTAGCTCTCCCCAATCCAGGTTGACCATTTGCCTCCCCACTAGACTGGAAGCGCCTATAAGGCGAGACCATTATCTCTCTACAGGAGGAGGTGTTTTAACAGTAGGGCTTACAGAGAGGTGGATTGGTGGATACTGGAACAACCTCTGTCCCCACAGGTGCCCAGGGGCAGGAGGTCCTGCTGCAGGTGGAGATAAGGACCAGGTGGTGCCTGCTGGAGGGTCCCTCTTGGTAAGCATCACCAGCCACTATCCCTGACTGGTGGTACCCAAGATTAAGATATTTCCTTGTGAAATATTCCCAAATTGTAACTATTGATATGCTAAATTTTTTTTTGTAGCACAGTCTGTGGTCCTGTGAGACAGATTGAGATTTAGGCTTTAGCTCTTGAGGGAACAGTGAGGTGTCTTCATAGGAGGTACAGGGTACCAGGGGTTTGTGAGCCAAGGAGGGTCACTGCAGCTGCAGCTGCAAGGGGACCCTGAGGGCTTCATGTTCCTTAGGACTGTGTCAGAGTGCCACAAGAAGTTGCCCAGGGTAGGTGGATCATGACTTGAGTGCCTGGGACTGATTGGGAGAGTTGGGCGAGATCTGGGAGATGCCAAGATCAGAGTCCAGGCCAGTGCTGGGAGGAGGGGCCATGGGAGTCCCTTGGCATGTGGGCCCATGGGTGTGCCATTTAGAAACAGATACTAACTCTGGCTCTGCTCCTTCCTGGCTGTGCTTCCTTGAGCAAGTCACTTTGCCTCTACCCTTTCTGGCCTTTATTATTGATCCATATAAAGAAAGCATAAGTAGAAGTATTTCATTCAGCTGGGGTGTCAATGAAGATAAATGACACAGGAAAGTCCAGGGAAAGCTTGAAAAAACTGGAACTCTAATGTTTGCTATAAACATCAAGCACTACTCCCCTTCTTACCTCCCTTTTCCCCTCAGCCCTGAGATAATCTGACTTTCATTTTCATGCCTGGCAAGGTGTCTAACAGAACAGGAAATACTAATCATGATGCTAATGACAATAGCAAACACAATGACACACTTCTACGTTCTCTAGATTTATTAACTCAAAGTTCATGCTTCCACACCCTGAGATGGCTTTTGCAGGACAGGCTAACCCTGGCAGCCTGCACTGCAAGGTGGTAGGTGGGGCAGCCCAGGCCCACACGGTGGTGCTGCTGACAGGGGAGAAGGAGCTAAAACAGCAGCCAGCAGTGGGGAAAACCACTGAGGTCCCGTTCACCGTGCTGGTGGACAGAGAGGACCATGACTCCAATCTCTCTTGCTTCACGGAACTGGACCTGCGTCCTCACGGCCTGGGACTACTGGGGAACAGCTCAGCCCCCAGGCAGCTCCAAACTTTTGATGAAGGAAGGGACTGCAGATAGGGGTTTAAGCAGGGGTGTCCTGACTGTAGGGTTTCTTTGAATGGGGAGAGCTAGAACTCGAAGTATCTGAGAAAACATGCCCTGGCCATTGGGCAGTGGCCACATATGAGAGGTCTGAGGCCGAGGAACTTTTGAGAAGGCTGTATGGTTGTGTCCTAGGGAAGGAGGAGCCCCAGGTAGCGAAGTATCCTGGAAAAGAGGAATACAGATTGGTAGGAGTTGGGGGTTGGAAATGAGCATGCTAAGAGATGAGCTGCATCCAGTACTGTGAGGCCTCCTCCAGTTCATAGCCACCCTTCTTTCCAGTCCTGCCCGTGACCTCCCCGCACCTCACGTTCCTTGGTTCCTAGAAGTGGGAAAGTGGTGGCCTGTGGGCTGCTCTCTGGATGAGCTGTTCCCAGTCTCCAAGGCCCAGGTCCAACTGGCCCTGGGGGCCAAATGCTGAATGCCTCAGTCTCAAGGCTTGACAAGGAAACCCTCCAGGCCACAGCTATTGGGAGATCTGAGCAGGAGGCTGTGGAGGAGGTTGTTTGACCTTTTACAGTAAAGAGGGTCGGTGCTGTAGGAGAGGCCAATGGGCAGAAATAGGGTGGAGATTAAGGCACAGGGGCGGAGCCTTATGGGCCAGAGGAGTTACAGCATGGATGGGAAGAGTGAATAGCAGAAATAGAATGTGAACAGCCAGGGGGTCAGGTCGGAGAAGCCAGATACCCTACAGGGAAGAGATGGATAGAGGATGAGCCTTGATCAACAGGGGTGCATGGTCAGCAAAATACTGGACAGTGTTCCGTCTTTAGGCTTCCCAGGGCCTATCCTGACTCATGAGCCAGCTCAGCATCCTTGAAGGGACTATCGTGGATATGACTTGTGCAGCTGGGACCCAAGTCCAGGGCACACTGGATGGTGTTTTGGCTACAGCACCAGGCAGTCAGTCCAGCTTCAGCTAAACGCCACAGAGAATGATGATGGGGCAGTTTCTTCTGTGGTGCCACCCTGGAAAGTGGATGAGGAGTTCTTGAACCTGAGCATCCAGCTGTGCATCCTGTGTGAGTAGGTGACTTTGATATTTAATCCCTTATCCTCCTGACCTGGTAAGACTTGATTCTCCTTTGCCTCCACTATGCCTTGAATGTGTTAGATGTATCTGATCATCTGATGGTCCCACAGATAGTCCCAAGACTGACACAGCAAAATGTCTGAAGAGCTTGATGTGGAGAGAACTATCCATATCCTGCAGTGCCAGGCCCAGAGCAACCTGGATCCCCAACTAAAGTATTTGCGGCAAGGCTCCAGACAACAGGCGCCCATCAGGATCCCATTCCTTGTCAGATTAAACCACAGAGGTACCTATTACTGTCAAGTGAGTAGTCCTCGAGGTACACACAATCTGACTGTGGTGTAAGTCCAGGCAGAGCCATGGGTCAAGATGAGAAAATTTTAGAAGGGGCTGGAGTGTGTTTATTTACTTTCCACTTCTTTGTACAGCTCGGGACCCCCTTACCATGACCGTCGTCTAAATGATGTTAGTGATTTTGGGGCTGGTGATTACAGCAGCAGCCACAGTTTACGTCTTCAGGTTGCAGAAGTGGATTTGGAGAGTTACCTTGTGAAGCAGGAGCGCACTTGACGGTCCCTCACTTCTTAACAGCCCGACAAATCTGTGAAGGGGGCACAATCCAGTGCTTCTGGCCACCGGGATACTGGGACGCCGCCGACGTAATCTGGCTGTAACGTCGCACCAATAAAGCCTTCAAATCACGAGTCAGTGACTTGATCCCACCTGCGCTGAGGGATTCTCCTCTCTCCCTTGGGCATCCAAGTGTGACCTCTCGGGGAGGGAAGGGCGGAACCTACTGCTTGCAGAAATGGCTAGAGCGCGGAGAGGCGGGCTGGGCGCTAGCCAATGGGCTGAGAGAATTTAGCAGAAGGCGGGGCCTCCCCCAACCAATAGACGGACGCGTCCTAGTTGCCGCTCTATGCCGCTCCGCCTTGGCTCGCTAGTCCCAGAAGGCGCCGGGCTTCCCAAGATGGCGGCCGACGTGTCCGTTACTCACCGGCCCCGGCTGAGCCCGGAGGCTGGGGCCGAGGTTGAAACGGATGATGCCACGGAGCGCCGGGCTCCCGAAGAGGAACTGCCTCCTCTAGATCCAGAAGAGATCCGGAAACGTCTGGAACACACCGAGCGCCAGTTCCGCAACCGCCGCAAGATACTGATCCGGGGCCTCCCGGGGGACGTGACCAACCAGGTATGGGGGGGGTGTGTGTGTGATAGGAGCGTGGCGGGAAATACCACAGTGCGCGTGCGCGGGGGGAACCGGAGGACTCCAACCCAGGCGTGAGACTGGGGGGCGGGGGGTCTGAGCGCTCGGCCCAAGCAGGGTCGGGAGAGACCAAAAGCGAGTTTGGGGGGGCGGTGCAGGGAAGAACCAACTTTGTATGGGAGGGAGATGTTGCTAGGGGAGACCACAGGCTTGGACTGGGCCAAGTGATTGAGTGGGGCGGAGAATGGAAGGGTACGTGCAAATTGGACCACGTTTGGCGATTGTGAATGGGCATTTTCACTGGGATTGCAGAAATAGCTAGTTGCTCCCTTCTCTTTTTAGGCCTTACCCACCCCCTGTACTATCGGATGGTGGGACCTCATATCCAAAGGCTTTAGGGTTGGCTAGAATTGTCTTTACATTGTACGGGTTTAACTACTTCCAGAGAGTCCTCCGGAAGTTGTAGCTGGGGTCGGTCGTTCTGCCCCCACAAAGCACCAGTATTAATTTGGAGAAATGTAGTCCCTTTCTTCCAGCTCATACACCTGCAGGAAAAGGGGGGGTCAATGTTCTGTGAAGCCGCTCTTGATTGATCTGGCCAAGGCTGTCCTTCTGTTGGGGCTTATATTGTACAGGGCTTCCCGTGCTCTTTGGACCCAGGGAGATTGCTTCCAGCCTGCCCTGCCCTACTTTGGTGGATTGGATTCTTCCTGCTGTTGAGAATTCCTGCTCTCTGCCCCACCAGCACACTTGCCCTCCACTGGCTCACCTAGCCCCTGTGAGGATACATGACCATTGGGGCCCCAGCAGTGGGAGTGGGGGGGTGTGACTTGGAGAAAGACCTGAGGCAAGTGCCACTAAGCTATATGATTTGTTTTTAAAGTCGGTCCTCCCAGTGCCCACCATCTCCTAGCTGGGGACAACTGTCTCTCCTTAGAGTGCAATGTATCTGGCACAAGCAGGCCCCAGGACCTCACCCCTGCCACTGATTTGTAAGAATGCAATCCTGTCTAGAGGGTGGAATGGGAGGCATGTCAAGCCACATGATGTGGGCTTATTAAGTAAATCCCAGTTAGGTCCCCCTGGGTAGCATTCCTGCTGTTACCCTGATGGGCAGGGTCTTTTGACACCTTCCTGAGCCTTAGTTTTCTTGTCTCCAAAATGGATTTAATACCTCACTTGTAGGGTTGTGAAACAGTTGTTCTTGTAAAGCAAGGTTTAGGTGGATTAAAGAACTTTCCTGAGTGAGTATGCCATGGATTTCAATTCAGACCCACCTGCCTTTCCAAGAGCAAGCAAGTTGTGTTGGCTAACAGCATGGTGTCTGCAGCTATGGCCCAGTGGCCTCAGGAAAGCAACTACTTGGAACCCCAGTACCTTACTTTATGAAACAGGGTGGTAATTGACCTGCTTTTGTAGCTGGTTTACATGAAAGTGGCACTGGGTTGCTGCATTCAGCTTCTGATAACTGCCTGCCCTTTGGTTTCTGTCTCTGCAGGAAGTGCATGACCTGCTCAGCGACTTTGAGCTCAAGTACTGTTTTGTGGACAAATACAAAGGGACAGGTTTGTGGAGTTGTGGGGTAGGCTGGCAGTAGGGAGTGGCCATCCCTGAAACTGCTAAGGTCCTGGTCTAGTGGCTCCTTTCCTGAACTGTGGGCCCAGCAGCATCCCCTAGGCCAGCACAGGTCATGCTGTTGTCCCAATCTGTCCCTCATCCTGTGTGTTTCTCCTGACTGGCCACCCAGATTCCTTGGCACTGGTCTGCCGCCTTCCCTTGCCCCCCACAGCCAACCAGTCACCAACACCTGTCTGATCTTCTCTCTAAGGCCTCCCCTAAGGAGTGGTGCCTCCTTTGCCTTTTGCTTCTACCTGGCACATGCTTCCTCTATCTCTACCTTCCTCTGGTCTCCCTTCGTGATTTCATGCTTCTGTTTGGTTCCTGGAGTCCAGATCCAGTCTGATTTTGAATTTGATTTTAACCCTGGCCTGTCGTTTCCTTAAAACTCACCTCAGGCTCAGCCTTGCCATTTCCTCAGGTACATTTCCTGGCTGTCTCTTCCATCCAGATCCCACCTAGGCTGGGTCAAGTAGCTCCTCATGGAGCCCTGGTTGTCCACCCCCATCCCTAAATCAGTGCTGAGCATTCTGCGGGTTATGTCTCACCCACCTGCCTCATTGGATGATCAGGGACGGGAACAGATCTCCTCAGCCTTGGTCCCTAAGGAGTTAGCCATATTTCTGAGGGCACCCCCAGTATAGAAGGAGGTGGGGACAGTCAGCTGTGGGTTGGGGTGGCAGACCTTGGGGCCCTCTGACCCTTTTCCCCCTCCTGTGGCAGCTTTTGTGACCCTGCTGAATGGGGAGCAGGCTGAGGCCGCCATCAGCGCCTTCCACCAGAGCTGCTTACGGGACCGCGAGCTGTCAGTGCAGCTGCAACCCACGGATGCCCTGTTGTGTGTGGCCAACCTGCCCCCCAGCTTCACACAGCAGCAGTTTGAGGAGCTGGTGCGTCCCTTTGGCAGCCTGGAACGCTGCTTCCTGGTCTATAGCGAGCACACTGGCCACTCTAAGGGCTATGGCTTTGCAGAGTACATGAAGAAGGACTCGGCTGCCCGCGCCAAGTCAGACCTGCTGGGCAAGCCGCTGGGTCTGCGCACGCTCTATGTGCACTGGACGGATGCTGGGCAGCTGACCCCTGCCCTGCTCCATTCCCGCTGCCTCTGTGTTGATCGCCTGCCTCCCGGCTTCAGTGATGTGGATGCCCTGCGCCGGGCGTTGTCAGCTGTCCACACTCCCACCTTCTGCCAGGTGAGCCTTGTGCCCTACATGGGATTTAGAGGAATAGATCTCCAGCCCAGAGCACCTTTGAGGCGTCAGGATCACCTGCCCAGTTTAATCTCCCTTTTCAGTAACAGGGTTTTTTTGTTAAGAGAGACCACTTGGGCAGTGGATCACCCCTACAGATGTAGGTGAGGTAGCTTTTGTAGAAGTTGGTTGTGAATCTTGCTCACCTTCTCGTTCACCCCTAAACTCATCACATATATTTTGAGTTCCAGGCCTCATCACATATAGTTTGGGTTCCAGGCCCCAGGCCTGATGTTGAGAGGCTGCTCAAAGGAGCCTGCTGTCCATTTTAGCGTTAAGGTCAGGAAGTCGAACTTGGCCAGATCCCAGTCCTGCTTTGTGCCCCTGGAAAGCACTGGTTCCCTGAGCATTGGTTTCCTCCGCCATAAAAAGGGATTCAGTACCTGTACATTGGAAAGAGATCCCTGTTGTTGAATACTTCTGTATGTGTGCACTTAGCCTTGTGACAGGTACTGAAGGATGAAAAAAGGCCAAACCCAGCTCTTTAAGAGCCCCCAGATGGCCTGTTCACAGATTCTTACGGGGACCATTCCTTCAGCACTTAACTGGGTTCTGAGTATGGTACCTGCAGGCATTCCATCCTGTAACAACCCAGAAGGTAGGTCTTATCCCTTTTTTAGGACTGTAAAGCATGGGGAGGTCGAACAACATTCCCAGGGTCATTCAGCTAGGGTAAAGTAGAGCTGACAAGCTGGTTCTAGAGCCTGTGAATAGCCTAGATGAGAGTGATGCAGGGACTCAACAGCTCCGTGGCCTTGGATAGGGCCTGCTCCCCTCATGTAAATAATGTTACAGCCTGGGAAGTCAGGTGTCTGTCCTTAGTCACTCAGCAGTTCTTCATGCTGATCGGAAGTGTTTTGTGATTGCTTATTAGGAATAACTCCCCTTTATTCTTAATTCATCAGACGTTTGTTGTGTAACTACTGATACCACACATCCCAGTTAAATGGAAGCCAAACCCAGGAGTCAGGCAGCTTAAGGTTTGGGCCCCTGTCCCCCTATTTATAGCTTTAACTGCCCTTTGACCCCTGAAGACCTCTGTTCGTCTGTGAGATGGATGTGATTGTGGGAAGATGCGTATTGAGTCTCAGCTTCAGGACCTTGGCTAGAGGTGAAGTTCTTACTCAGGGGCTACTGGCTAGAGCTTATTCTTTTGGGGGCAGTCAGGGCCCATGGCCCAGGCCAGCAGCTTCCCACTGCTGCCCCTGGAGTGACTTTTACTCACCCCTGCTGAGCATCCTCTTAAATCCCTGTAGGCACCCTGTGGTCCCTTTAGCCAAGTCATCTTACAGATGAGGAAAATGAGGTCTGAATATGGGTGTGTGCATCACCTGTCCAAGTCTGGGAGTCAGGGTCAGGTGGCTCTCCCTGGGCCTGGGCTCCTAACTCAGTGCCCTCATCTCCCAGGAAGGCCTGATGCCAAGCTGGGAGTTTGCTGTCCATGGGGGGAGGTGTTTATTTTCAAGATAATCTAAATGAGAACACCAGAGGAATCCTATAGCAACCCACTCAGCTGCTACTTACAGGCCAATTTACCGATCTTCATTACTTTATCACATAGTAACTTTAAAATATTTTAGTGCTGGGCAACAAGTTAAAAGCAGCACCTCTATAAAGCTGTTCGAAGCCACAGCAGCACAAGTTTGATCCCCGACCAGGGAGGTGACCCACATGGTGTGGCTAATCTTTTCTGACCCACCCACTGCCCCTCAGTGTATTTCAGTAGATCTTCCTGTTCTGCTCCCCATTCTGTCTCTGGTGAGTCCTCTCACACACACCCGCTGGCGCCTCTGGCCTGTAGTTCTTATATGTATAGTACATGCATACAATACATGCATAATGCATGGCCCGCAGTTCTTGTGCACATAAGTAGATCTTTAAAAAAATATTTTAGTGCTATAGCCATGTCATGTGTAAGGCAGGTATCCTAAGACCACAGGTGCTGTAAAATGTCAAAAAAGTTTTATTTGAAACGTCAGTATGTCAGAAGGGTCAGCATGAAGGATCCCTCCAGCACTCCGGCACCTTTGCCTGTGGTCTCTGCATAAGTCATTTTGTCTTCTCCAGCAAGGTTTTATTTATTTATTTTAAAGATTTATTTATTCATACAGAACTGGGTACAGGCCAGAGGTGCAGAGGTGGTGAGAGGATTCACCAGAGACAGCAGAACAGGCAGATCAATGAAGAACACTGCTGAGGGGAGCAGCGGGCAGGTCAGGAGAGGTCTGCCACGCCATGTGTGTTACTTCCTGGGCAGGTGGGGATCAAACTCATGCTAAATTGACTTTAGCTTCTTAGTGCTGTGCTTAACCCGCCGCACCACCAGGGAGGGCCAGCAAGGTTTTATTATGCATTTCAAACAGTGCACGTGTGCTTATGCACTTGCCTTTTTTTTTTTTTTTTTTGACCTAAGTGTTGTCATGCCTGCATTCATTTTGTTTTTCCATTTTTTTAAAAATTTACTTATTTATGCATACAAGAACTTGGGTACCGGCTAAAGGTTGGGTAGAACTGGTGGGGGGAAATGAGAGGATTCCCCAGAGACAGAGTGGGGAGCAGAACAGGCAGAGCCACTGAAAACCACTGCTGAGGGGAGTAACAGGAGAGGTCTGCTGCACCGTGGGTCAGCTCCCTGGTGGGGGATCAAACTCATGCTGCAATGGCTGTGGATAGCTTCATAGTGCTGAGACTTAACCCCCTGTACCACCAGGGAGGCCCATTAGTTTTTCCATTTTGTCTTGGACAGCTTTCCATGTTCGGACAAGAGCTTTAGCCTTCCCTTTGTTTCTGTGCTGTACCTACTTTATGAACTCCAGATTACCCCTGCTGGAGCACACTGCATACCACACCATAGCTGTGAGAGCATCTCAGGGCCAGGGAGAGTGGGAACTGGGCTTGGGACAGTGCTGGAGTCCACTCTCTCAGGGACGGGGGGAGGTGCTGTCATAATCAGTATTCTTGATTGTTGTTGTCACTTCACATGAAGACAGTCACTGCTTCCTTCCTCCCTCCTCTAACACCAAGGTAGCCAGTTCCTTCAAGGCATCAACCTGGCCTTGGGCTCCCAGCTCCAGCTCTGCAGCCTGGGCAGAGCCTCTCCAGGCCTCAGTTTGCTTGTGCAAAACAAGCATGGTAACAGCGCCTGCCTCTGTAACCAGTGAAACAGTGCCTGTGATACCATCCCAAGGGAGTACAGGGTTTCCCACCATGTCTGCTGCCCTGGGACAGCCCTGCTCACAGTTCCAGTACCATGGGTGCCCTGAAAACCAAGAGGCTTACTCCTTGAGTTTGTGTGGGCTCACCTGTTACCAGAGTCTGACCTGAACTGCTAGGGGAATGTCTGTGGCCTTTGCGTCTTACCACAGAGCTATTCATGGGTTTGATTTATAGGCCCCTGGGGGTGATTCATAGACAGCATAAAGGATGTGCAGCTCTTGCCCTTTCTCATCTCTGAAAAATTCTCAATCTGGGGTACATCTGGCCCCTGGGCCTAGCTGAGGGCTCTGGGCCTAAAATACCGAATTACTGCTGTCAGAGTGGGACAGAGGGGCCTCTGGCCTTATTTCTGCTTCTCGCTGACTATGGCCCTCCTCCTCACCATCCAGCCCTGAACCCAGGCTCAGGCCACCTGCCTCACCCCCAGGCTGTGTACCCTTGCTGGCCCCAGCTGCAGCATCCAGTCTGGGGCTGGTGGTGGTGTGGAGCCACTCTTCGCCTGCCCCTCCTTTCTGAGCCACACCACATGAGGACACTGTTTTTGACTCTGTGCCTTGGTGTGCTTGGGATACTTTATCAGAGTGGCAAAATGGCACTGGCATGAGACCAGGGAAGTTCACTTGCGTGAGCAGCATCCCTGCTGTGCCCTCCCCCCACCTTGGGTGTTGACCCTCTGAGCCTCAGTTTTCCTCTCTAAAAGGTAGGTAGGATGCAGTCTTAAGTCCATTGAGAATAGCTGATGTGTTAACACAGACCCGGGCTTGGGATGGTGCTCTTCCAGAATCCATCCTCTGGGGGAGGGGGCTTACTCTCACTGCTGGGATTCTTGTCTCATCTGTTGCTCTTCCCTCCTCATCTCCGGTTTTCTTGCCTGTCTTTTCCCCTGCAGCTGGCGTATGGTCAGCATGGACAGCTGAAAGGCTTTGCAGTGTTGGAATATGAAACTGCAGAGATGGCTGAAGAGGCACAACAGCGGGCGGATGGCTTGGCTCTGGGGGGCAGCCATCTGCGTGTCTCCTTCTGTGCCCCAGGGCCCCCTGGTCGTAGCATGCTGGCTGCACTCATTGCTGCCCAGGCCACAGTGAGTGTATGCGGAGGCGGCTGCAAGGCTGGGGGGTGGATAGAGGTGGAGGGGTCAGGGCTTCCTCCCAAGAAATCAGGGCCCTTGCGGGGACACCAGCTCGGCTCTGGGGATGACAGGGAGCACTGAGGCCTGAGGCCTGGCAGACAGGCTGAGTCTCCCTTCTGCTCTTTTCTGCAGGCCCTCAATCGGGGCAAAGGGCTTCTGCCTGAGCCCAACATCTTGCAGCTGCTCACCAACCTTGGGTCCTCTGCCTCCCTCCAGCTGCTGCTTAACCCCCTGCTCCACGGCAATGCAGGAGGCAAGCAGGGTAAGGCGGATCTCCCCTAAGAACTGGGCACCTCTCTTGAGACTTGCTTATTTGAGCTTTGAATGGTCGATACCCATGAGCAGGGGTTGGGATGAGAGTTATGGTTGGCAAAACTAGCTGAGGAGGAGCTTTGCAGCCTGAAACTAAGCTGGGTGGTGGAAAGAGGGACTGTCCTCCCCTGGGGTGGATTCTCTTTCTGGAGCCTTCCTTGAGCATGTTAGTTGTCTTCTCAAAGCTTCAACTTCCCAAGATTGTGTTTAATTGGGAAGTGGGCCTACCACCTATTTCATGATTCTCTCCCCAGGCCTCCTGGGCGCACCCCCCACCATGCCAATACTCAGTGGACCCGCGCTGTCCACGGCACTGCTGCAGCTTGCCCTGCAGACCCAGAGCCAAAAGGTAACTGTGCTTCAGACCCAGACTCCCCACTGTGTTCTCCCATAGCCTTGGTCTTTTTGGTTTCAAATATCACTGGTGGCTGCCAGTGAATTGCTGTCAGTAGGCTCTTGGGCCATTTGACTGTGTCTCTGGAGCCTCCCTGTGACTGCCCAGCACTGTGTGTGGTAGATACTGCTTTCATGATAATCAGCAAGGGGGCTGGTATGGGTATTTGTAACTGGAAGACAAGCCTGACATGGTGACTGCATGGTCCACATACCCGGGGTGTCTGAAGATCCCTGACAAACAGGATGCCCACAGTTGGATGGGTGATAGCCAGGATGTTGCAGACACTGGGGGGACACTGCCTGTGATTGGCTATGGGCTTGGTTTGGGTATACTAGACATGGTGATAGCCTACACCTTGGGCAACACCTGCCCAAGCTACACCACCCCATCTTCAGCTGACCAATCTGTCCCTAGAAACCTGGGATCCTGGGAGACTCTCCCCTGGGCACCCACCAGCCTGGGGCCCAGCCAGCCAACCCACTCCTTGGGGAGCTTTCCGCAGGTAACTTCCCATCTCTCTGCACCCCACCCACCCCCTTCCCTGCTTCCTCTTACCAATCCCTTTTCCTCACTGGGAGTGTAAATTCCCAGCTGTGTGGCCTTGGGCAAGCGACCTAATCTCTCTGGGTTTCAGGTTCTTGTTAGTTCCCACGGTGAGATGAGCCTTCTGCGGGTTGGTGCTGGGTTCTCAGTACCCAGCACATAATTGCCCCTCAGCTGCTAACCCTGGTCCAGTTGGAGGTTCTGAAGCCCCAGGAAGAGAGGTCGTGGTGTGGATGGGCTGTTGACCCCTCCTTCTCTTTACAGGCGGAGGACTGCCCCCGGAGTTGCCGCCCCGGCGCGGGAAACCACCACCCTTGCTGCCACCACTGCTTGGCTCTTCTGGGGGTGACCGGGAAGCCATGGGTCTGGGTCCCCCAGCTGCCCAGCTCACTCCACCCCCGGCCCCTGTGGGACTCCGAGGCACCGGCCTCAGAGGCCTCCAGAAAGACAGTGGACCTCTACCAACACCCCCTGGGGTAAGCCACCATCATGTTCCTGGCTCCATTCCAGTCTCCTGCCCCATGAGGATCCCCTTGCCAGGGGCCCTCATGAATCCAACCCTTTCACCACAGGTCTCACTGCTAGGGGAGCCCCCCAAGGACTTCCGGATCCCTCTTAATCCTTACCTGAACCTACACAGCCTGCTTCCAGCCAGCAACCTGGCGGGTAAGGAGGCCCGGGGCTGGGGAGGCGCTGGGAGAAGCCGCCGCCCAGCTGAGGGCCCCCTGCCTAACCCTCCAGCCCCCGGAGGTGGTGGCAGCAGCAAAGCCTTCCAGCTCAAGTCCCGCCTACTCAGCCCCCTCACCAGTGCTCGCCTGCCCTCTGACCCAGGGCTGTCTGACAGCTATGGTTTCGATTACCCCTCGGTGAGTACCTGGCTGTCCTGTGGCCTTTGTCCCCTGAACACACGTCATTCTCTAGTCCTGTCCATGCCAGACCAGGCATGAGGGAGACTGTGGGAAAATGTGGGACTTGGCCCCTGCCTTTAAGTCTCTCTGCATATTAGAAGCTGCCTCTGTTTCTGTGTGTCAGTGTCTCTCCTACAGGCCTTGGCCATGCTTTCTCTCCTTGGAGACAGGACTTGGCACCCTGTCTGCCTGTCTTTCCCCTTTGATGCTTGTCTCTGTCCCTGAGGAGCTATTGCTAATATGATTCCATCCTCTTCTGGGTCAGACATTGCAAACAGGCTGCCCACAGGTTGTGTTTGGTGCATGCTGGGTTTTTTCTTTTTAAAAAAGCAAAACAAAACAACTGAAATGCTACTGCTAACATCTGAAAACTGCTGAGAGTTCACAGAACCTGGATGCCCCACTCAACACCTGTCCCCCTGGGCCTCCCGCCTTCACAGCAACTGTCTCCCAAGCCCTGGTGTGGTTACCCTCTGGGTCAGGTACACATTCTGTCTCAGGCCACCCTGCAGGCTGTGTCTGCTTTTCTGTAATGGCACTGTCGTCTTCCTTGAGAGAACGGTGCCGTGAATTCAGCCAGGAGTGAGAACCATATATTCCAACTCATACTGCTTTTTTTCTTCAGGATGTAGGACCTCGGCGGCTCTTGTCCCACCCTCGAGAGCCAGCACTCGGGCCTCATGGACCTAGCCGACACAAAGTGAGCGATGCCTGTTCTCCCTTCTGGGTGCATCAGTTCACTCTTGCTACATAACAACAGACCTAATGTAGCTTAGAATAGCAAATGTCACTTACTTCTTCATATTGTGTGTGTGGGGGGGGGGTTGGGGTGCTGGCTTTCTACAGTCAGTAGACTGGTAGAGGTACCTTCACTGCCATGGTTGTCTCCACTCCACATGGAGCTCATCCTCTCGCAGACCAGCAGGTGCCCATGAATAAGGTGCTAGTCCCAGAGCTCCCCAGAGGACAGACAGGGGCAGGCAGCTCTGCTTGTGTCATCTTGCTGTTCTCATTGGCCAAAGCTTAGTGGTGTGGCAAAGCCCAGACATGGGGGTGGGTCTTCAAAGGTAGGTGAGTACTTAAGTAATCTGCCTTACTCAGCTGTTCCCTTCTCTGCAGATGTCCCCCCCACCCAGTGGCTTCAGTGAGCGGAGTGGCGGGGGCAGTGGGGGGCCCCTCTCCCACTTCTATTCGGGCTCACCCACTTCCTACTTCACCAGTGGCCTACAGGCTGGCCTCAAGCAGAGCCACCTGAACAAGGTGAGGCACCTCCCTGGCCAAAGAGAAGTCTGCAGGGGCCCCCATGGCCCTTTGTGCCTAGACCAAGATTGGGATGGCAGGGGTAAGACTTATTTAGAATCAAGCTGAAGTGGATCATCTTCCCTGTCCATGTGTGTACAACACTCAATGCTGCCCAACTTTCTGGGTGCCCTCACCTCTTCCCCAGGAGCCTACAGTGTGGGTGGTATTCACTCCAGTTCACAAATAAATAAACTGAGACTGAGAAAAGGTATCTGCCCTTAATTTCATAGCTAGTAAGTGGCAGAAGCAGGATTTAAATCTGAACTCCCCCCCCCCTAAAAAATAAATATCTGAAACCCTTCTCTACACACCTTTCTCATTTCTCCCAGGTGGTTGGCTCCTCCCCACTGGGCTCTGGAGAAGGCCTCCTGGGCCTCAGCCCTGGGCCCAATGGCCACAGCCACCTGCTGAAGGTACAGCCAAGGGCTGGGAACACAGGGCTGGGGAGTGGTAGACCCTGAGTGGCCCCTGACCTGCCATCCTCTCCCCTTTGTCTCCAGACCCCACTGAGTGGCCAGAAGCGTAACTTCGCCCACCTACTGCCCTCACCTGAGCCCAGCCCAGAAGGCAGCTACGTGGGCCAGCACTCACAGGGCCTGGGTGGCCACTACGCAGACTCCTACCTGAAGCGCAAGAGGATTTTCTAAAGGGCCAGTGCCAGAGATTCCCAAGGGCCTACATCAAATTGCTTTTGGGTTTTCTGGTGTTTTGTTTTATGGGATCCCCCCCCCCCTTTTGGTAATAGAAAAACCTCTGAAAGACTTCGCTGACCAAACAGCCGGAGCCCAAGGCATGTGGGGGAGTCTGGGGCCTCTCTGCACCTCTGGCTTGCTCCTGGCATGGAAACCCTGCAGCCTTAAGAGAGAGGCCCTGCCTGCTCTCCCCTCCCTGTGTCTGCCTCTGTCCACCTCTTTGGGAGTCCTCTCCTGCCTCATCACTCCTGTATCTTGGCCTTTTGAGTGCCTTGGAGGGTTCCCTGACCTCCTGTGAGGATCAGAAACTGTCCCTCTTTTTTAACTTTGACAGCTGACTTTTGTTTCCTTTTCTAATTTTTATTATTTTTTAATAATCCAGGACATTCCCCAGCTCTGAATCCTTCAAGACCCAGTGTGTCTGTCATTCCACACTTTCCAGTTTGAAACAGCTCAGCCCTGTTCTCCCATGTCTGCTGCAGGCATGGCTGTCTCCAGTTCCTGCCTGCCCACTCTAAAATTGTGCTCCAGCTGCAGGTTCCTGGCTCCCCTGCCACAGTCCCCTGGCCTTCTGATGCCTTAAAGCTGGGCCTCAGGCCCTGCTGGCCAGAGCCTCGGATGCCAAGCTCTGGTAGCTTGACTCAGGACCAAATAGCTCTGGCCTAGGAATAGGACCTTTCTACCCAAGCGTCCCTACCCTAGGGACAGAAGGTCCAGCAACCCTACTTTTCCTTGTCCTCCTCACCTCCCCAGGTCTGGGTGCTTTACTCTGCCAGCTTAAACCAGCCCCTTTGCTGTTTCTCTGGTAGTCATGCATTTCACTGAGCCTCTATTCTTACCCCATGTTGAAGATTATCTCCACCTCATCATTCCTAGGCCATGTCATATGGAGCTGGCCTCCCTTTGGTCCAGTGCTGGCAACTAACAACTGGAGGCAGATCAGCTCTGTCCCTGCCCACCAGCAGGACCTATCTACCTGTAGTGACCCTGGGTCCTGTGCCAAGCCAGCTGGGTCACCAGCTTCCCTCCTATGATTCTGGGGCATTCTTGTCCACTCCAGGAGGTGGGAGGGTGTCCACTCCCCAATCCTCTCACACAGACCTTTGCTGAATTAAAGTTTGTAAGTAAATGGTTTTAAAGAAAACAGTGCTGGCTCGTTCTTTGAACACACATTGGGCCTGAATGGGTGGTCTGAGAGGGTCCTGCAGTTACTGGTGTCCCGACCCTGCCCTCCTATGGTGATCAGCTTGGACTCCTCCCAGGCCTAGTGCGAACATGGGCGCTTATATTACGGTGATTATGGGCTCTTTGCCCGTGTGAATATCACGGCGCATGCTCACCACTGTCACGTGATGCCTGTCATGGCCGCCTCCTTGGCCCGCGGAGGTGTGAATGCTGGTTTCCTGCTGAGGGCTGCTAAAGGCGCCTGCTGTTACAGACCCGGAGGCTTTTGGGAGTCAAGGGAGGCAGCGGCGGCGGCGACAGCCAGGAGATTCTGGGGGCCAGGTACCTGGTTATATCGGGCAGACAGTGTTAACCCATTGAACAGCGCAGGGTGTGGCGCGGCCATTCACCCAACCGTGTTTTTCAGGCTCGCGCCAGGCGGGGGAGGAGGAAACCAGTGCCCCGGAGCGACCCGGGGACGTGTGAGTGTGGGGGCCAAGTCTGTCTCATCCCACGAGATTCCCCCACTGCCCTTGTCCTGCTGCTTCACCCCTGGGTCCCTCTGCTTCGCCTGCCCTTCAAACCCTAAACCCGGCTTCCTAACCCTAGATTCCATCTATCTCCTAGGCCCATCTTCCATTTGGGCATCCTCACTCCCATCTGTCCTTAGGGTGAACGTGGTATTCGTAGACCGGTCAGGCCAGCGGATTCCGGTGAGCGGCAGAGTCGGGGACAATGTTCTCCACCTGGCCCAGCGCCATGGGGTGGACCTGGAAGGTGGGAGCCGGGCACGGGGAATTGGGGAGGCCCGTATTAATTAGTTTAAAAAAAAAATCACAAGTCAGATATGCCTCTTTACCACGAGGTGGAGAACCCTCCATGGTTTGCCACCAGATCCAGATATCTCATTCCCTACCACCTTTTAACCTTTGTTCAGTCAACACTGTTTATTGAACTTATACTAGAAATTATTAAAACTCCTACCCTCTGGGGAGCTCCTATTCACTTCCTCCTTCCCTCTATTGTAGCCACACTGGTTTTCTTGCTGTTCCCCGAGAAGCAGGTTTATTTCTGCCTCAGGCTCTTTACATCTGCTGCTTCTGCCATCTGAAGTGTTTTCCCTTGAGATCTTCCATCTCCATATCCTTCAGGTTTCAGTGTAAATATCATCTTCCTAATGAAGTCACCCCTCTCAGCCCAGCTAAAGTCCCCATGCCCCCCGTCAAGCTATATCAGTGTTTTATTGTCCTCTTAGCTGGTCAATGTATTGTTTCCTTCTTTGTCATCTCTCCCCAGAGTGTTTACTTTTTTACACTTATCTGTTGCCTATCATGGTATTTAGATGTAAGAATTATTAAACAAGTATTTGAAGAAAAGATAATAGCTGATTGACTATGCATGACAACTTTATGCAATAGCAGAATTTATTATATGTCACTTTATAACCTGGTTCCCAGGTTAAGTAGACCTGCTGTAAGGACATGTAAATGACAATGCTAGATTCAAACTGAGCCTGTTTTATCTGCTACTCACCTATAAGAATTGTGCCAGGCAGCTGTGTATAAAAAGTCTCCACTCATTTCACAAAACTTAAAGCCTAACAGTTATAGTAATTCCATGAGTAAACATGTAATGATATTGTGAGTAACTGGGAAGTGTGTTCTGAAAAATAGAGTTCATTTGTTAGGTGGATGTCATAAAGACCCTGATTTACTCTTAGCATAATAAGTTAAGTGTGTTGCCGTGGGGAGGGGGAGAATCAGGGAAGGCCTACCTCAAGTTCTGTTACAGAATCCAGTTGCCAGCAGTCCAGAAAAGAGATAGGAGCATCTATTTTAAAGGCAAATGCCCTGTGTTCAAATGTTGCCTCTTACCAACTGTGTGACCCTGAGCAAGGTACTTAGTTTTTCTAGGCCCCTGTTTTCTCATCTATAGAATGGAATAATTTAGCTCCTATCTCACTTGTTGCTATGGAGGGTTAAATAGACCTTATGTATAGAGCTTAATACCTGTCCATGGTTAGTATGCAGGTAATAATCAGGACAGTTATATTAGATAATCTCCATCTCATGTGATTAGGATGCTAATGAAATGGAAAACAGGGCTGAGGAAGAGATGTCCAGGGAATAATAGAAGTTTCTCCCCAGGAGATAGGAAGGGTGTGTGATTGGTCACCAAGTCCCACAGAGAGGATCTGCTGGGTCAGGAGACTGTTTTGCACCTCACCCTCACTGTCAGACCTGTGTGTAAGAGAAAGAAATTTGTCCAGTTCACTTACCACAAACTTCTTTAAAGATTTATTTATGTATACAGAACTGGGGTGCACAGGCCAAAGGTGCAGAGGGTGAGAGAATTCACCAGAGACAAAGTGGGGAACAGAATAGGCAGATCTACTGAAGTACACTGCTGAGGGGAGCAACGAATGAGACAGGAGAAGTCTGCTGTGTTATGTTGATCACCTCCTAGGCCAGGGACCAAACTTGTGCTGAAGTGGCTGCAGCTAGCTTCGTAGTGCTATACTGCAATCCGTTGTGTCATGAAAGAGGGCCGATAACATGTTTTTCTAGCATCTAAAACATGCCAGGCTCAGGACCTCCCTGGTGGCACAAGGATGTTAAGTCTTCAGTTCAATCCCTAGCCAGGGAGCTAACCCACATGGCACAGCACACCTCTCTTGTCTCACCTACTGTTCCTGTCAGTCAGTCTGCTTGTTCTGCTCCCCACTCTGTCTCTTGTGAGTTCCTTTCACCCCCACCCCACACACACACCCCTCTGGCCTACACCCCGACTCTAGGCCCCTGTTTTCTCATCTATAGAATGGAATAATTTAGCTCCTATCTCACTTGTTGCTATGGAGGGTTAAATAGACCTTATGTATAGAGCTTAATACCTGTCCATGGTTAGATTCAGGTAATAATTATATTATCTAACAGTTATATTAGATAATCTCCATCTCATGTGATTAAGATGCTAATGAAATGGAAAACAGGGCTGAGAAAGAAATGTCCAAGGACATCTATTTATGCATATAAATAAATCAATCTTAAAATGAAACATGCCAGGTTCAGTGCCAAGTGCAGAGAGAAGGCAGATTGACCTGGTGCAGGTAAACCTAGAGATTAAGAAAGCAGTGACTGTACAGAAATTAAAAAGATAACAAGGGGGGGCAGGACAAGAAACAGGAGATAGCATGTACAGGACAAATGAGTTAAGTTACCAAGACAAGAAAAATCTAGCCATGGAAAGAGTGGAGAGATCTTTCCAGGTTGTGAGAGCAGAGATCCTGTGGTGAGGATGATCTCGTTTTGTTGGAGTTGAGCAAGGGGGTCAGTGAGGCTGAAGTGAAGTAAGTGAGGGTGGGTGGATATCAAAGACTGATTGGAGTTTTGCTCTAACTGAAATCCTTAGGGAGATTATAGGATAGGAGGGAGAGTATTCCCATGCACAGTTCTTGATGATCAGAAGGTTGGACTGTGTCCAAGGAGAAACAGAAAACTCAGGGTTCTGCATCTTTCAACCCTGTTTCATGACCCCCTCCCCTGCTGCACAGGATGCTCAGTAAGCCTGCCCCTCCGATGGGAGCAGCAGGGAGACAGGAGCACATTTGCCCAGCAGTGACAGGATCGCAGCAAGGACACATACACGACAGGGAGCCCGCATGGCCTTTCGCCTTCATTATACTGAAGTCAAGTCCATGCTTATTAACTGTTCTCTGTATAGGCAGCCTGGTCCTTAGCCTGCTAGGGAATCCTTGGGAAAGGGGACACTCCAGACATCCCTTTATCAAACTTACATGCAGCTTGGTGAATTAACACTAGTTGAGCAAATGATAGAGTGGAGGGCACACACATGAGGGCATGTGGTGAAGCAAGCGGCTTCTCCCTTTCACTGATCACTAAATGGCACCTGTCTGACCATGCCCCTCATTGACACTCTCCTCACTTAATGCCCTCAGGGGCCTGTGAAGCCTCCCTGGCCTGTTCCACCTGCCATGTGTACGTGAGTGAGAAGCACCTGGACCTTCTGCCGCCTCCTGATGAGAGGTGAGCAGGGCAGTCCCTCCCAGCCCCCAGCTGCAAGAAACGCCACCAAGCCACTGCACTCCCTATGTCTAGCGGGTCACCTGAGCACTGGGGAGGGCAGTCCCAGCTTTTCTCCCCTTCCAGGCTCTGTTCCTAGCAGGGCACTGTCCATCTGGCCATGCCCCTTGGGTGCCCACTAACTGCTGTCCTCCTTACTCCAGAGAAGACGACATGCTAGACATGGCCCCCCTCCTCCAGGAAAACTCCCGGCTGGGCTGCCAGATCGTGCTGACCCCTGAACTGGAAGGGGCTGAATTCACCCTGCCCAAGATCACCAGGAACTTCTACGTGGATGGCCATGTTCCCAAGCCTCACTGACAAGGGCAACTAGACCGTCCTGAAACCCCTGGCTCCGGAGCCAGGACTGGAGGAATCGCCAAGCTGCCAGCCCCGCCCAGAGCACAGACACGCCCGAGAGTAATGTCGGAAGCACCCAGAAGGCCAAAGCCCCTACATCGGAGATCCCATGTCCAGGCTCTGGTGGTCGCCAGGTGGAGCGGGCACCCCTAGACCCCCAAAGAATCGGGGTGTGGAGAATAGTGGAATCTAACGAAACAACAATAAAACTGTCTTACAGACCTCCATTATTTTCGTCTTTGTTGGGGGCAACTCCACTCCCGCCTGGGCCTACAGCTGCATCTTCCAGGCCCCCAACTCTTCCCTCCCCTGGCAGTGATGGGGCCCTCTGGTGAAGTCAAGGCGGCGCTTGGGATCCCCCCCTTCCGGGAGGGGAGGGCCCACGTGGGTCAGCGTGGCAAGGCCCCGCCCCCACAGCCGCGGAGGGATTTGGAGGGGTTCTGCCCGTGCATATCCAGGAGGGGTGTGCAAGCCGGAAGGAGAAGGGCACCAGGGCTGATCTGTGGGTGGGGTCTTGGAAGTAGATTCCAGCCCAGGCACCCGCCCCACCACCTCCGCAGGTGGAGCTCATTGCTCCCTCCACCAGAAGCGCCCCCCACCGCAGGCCCTGCCCCACCCAGGTGGGACCCATCGGGTGGGCCTGGTGGGGGTGGGGCCAGGCGAGATTAGGGAAGGGGGAGCTGGGCTGGGGCGCCATGGAGGCTGAACCAGCCCCAGACTTCATGCTGCGAGAGTTGCAGACGCCGCCCTGTCTGGACCCCAAGTCACCCCCGGAGCCCCGTGCCCAGCAGACACCAAGAACCTCAGGATTCCTCAGAACCAATGGCAGGTGCGTTGTGGAGCCCCTCCCCCAACCTGGTCCAGTGGTCAGGAGGTTGTGACCTCTGGTTCCCGGGGTTATCTAGAGGTCACAGTGTTAGTTACTGGTACTTACAAAGATGAAGTTCTGGTCCCAGGGGATATGTGGGGTTATTAGGGGGTCAAGGGCCACGCAGTTTCTCCTGCCAGTGTCTCTCAGGCCTGTGCAGGTGCTACCCAGTGAGGGAAATGACCACATTCTCCCTTGTTTCCAGGTCCTTCTGGCCTGCACACCAGGACTCGGTCACCACCCTGTGCTTCCTCCAAGAGACACCAGAGGTGTCCCTGGCCCAGGAGTCCTGCTGGGAGCCGAAGACCCTGGGAACACTGGGACCACCGTCCCTGGCCAGGGATGCCAAGAATATGTGGACCCCGATCAACCAGCAGTGCTGCAGCCTGGGACCCCCAGGGCCCCCCACCTTCTCTTCAGCCCCACCCCAAAGGAGGTCCCGGAAGCAGTCCAACCCCCATCGGGGACTTGAGAAAATGGACCCCCAGTTCGAGGGGGTGACCCTGAGGTTTCAGATAAAGCCGGATTCCAGCCTACAGATCATACCCAGCTACAGGTATGGGCTCGTGGGGGCAAGTGGTGTCGTTTATACAAACGATAATGGTGAGGGCTGAGCCCTGGGGGTAGGCACCTCCAGGCATCTGTCTTGGACTCCCCCAAGATCAGCCCTGCATTACAGATGGTCCAGTCTCAACATGACCTTGGGCTGATTTCAGACCCATCCTCATTGCCATGAACCAGTCACACCTAGGTCTAAGCCAGCATCTCCTCTTCGTGAGATGTATCTCTTTCGATACTGATAATAGTTACTCTCTCAGGAAAAAAATCGATAAAAATATGAGGTAACAGGACTCTTCCTGGTGGCACGTCAGGTTAAAGCGCAGTGCCATGAAGCTGGCCACAGTCTCTTCAGCATGAGTTTGATCCCAGGCCAGGGAGGTGACCTACATGGCGCAGCAGACCTCTCCTGCCTTGCCCGCTGCTCTCCTTACTTTGTCTCCTCACTTTGTACTTTGTTGATCTGCCTGCTCTGCCCCCTACTCTGTCTCTGGTGAATCCTCTCACTGCCCTGCATCTCTGGCCTATACCCTGGTTCTGTATGCATAATTAAATCTTAAAAAATATATATGAGGTAACATAACGTGACATATATGGGCTCATTGAAGCCCATTTTACAGATATGGAAACTGAGGTACAAAGGATGAAGTCACTTGTCCACGATCACACAGTGAGGATGTGGATGAACTGGGATTTCAGCCTGGCAGGTTGGCTGCAGACTTACCATCTCTTTAAATAGTAGTAATATTTTTTTTTTATTGAGGTATAATTGAAGACAAGCCACATATATTCAAAAGTATATTTTAACATATACTTGATATTATAGTTTATAATTGAATTTTTTGTTTTATATACACCAAATCAAAGCATATACTTTTTGTGTCTGGTTGGTTTCACACAGTTGAATTGTTTTGAGATTGATCCAAGTGGTAGCACGTATGGGTAGCTCCTTGCTTTTCATTCTGTGTTCCATTGTATGGTTGATGATGATGTTGCTGAGTACAATAAGGGACGAAGCCAGACCTGTTAGACATCAGATGTTTCCTCAGGGGATGCCTGTTACCTTGGTAGTTAATGTTCACTTTGAGGGGGCTGCAGACTCCCCCGGTGCTAACAAACACCTTGTCTACTTCCCAGCCTGGCCTGTAGCAGCCGCTCTCAGGGCCCATCTGCAGTCCCCTCTGGGAGCCCTGAGCCCAGCCCAGGAGGCAGCGAAGCCCTGGGTGAGTGTGGAGACTCTAGAGCTATAAATATTGGGGTGGGGGAAATTTTCTTTCTTTCCTGTCTTTTCTCCATCCTGCTTCTCCATTTAGACCTATCCAGGAGGAGTGGGGGTGCCCCCCTCCACTCAGGCTGAGTCACCCCCACCCCCAGCTTCCTTCTCTGCTGAGCTTTGCCATCTGTCTCCCTTCCTGGCTTTCCCACTGTCTTAAATCTGGCGATCTCCAGGGCTGGCCCAGAGCCAGAGGGTGGGCCTTCACAGACCCCTCCACAATCCCTGCCTTGGCCTGAGTTCAGGCTCTTTGCCTCTGACCCCTACCCTTTGGTCTCTACTTCTTCAGGGCCCAGGCGCTGTGCTTCCTGTAGGACCCAGAGGACCCCTCTCTGGAGAGATGCAGAAGATGGGACCCCTCTCTGCAATGCCTGTGGTATCAGGTCCTCAGAATGGAGGGGGGAGCTGGGATGGATTCCCAAATCGGTCTGCTTAGCCAGTGTGGGCTAGTGGGAAAAGCAGTTGCCCATTTCTTGGGGAAAGTGGTTCCCTCCTGGTGGTTCTGGGCCCTTGCTGCATCCTGAAGTTGGTTTCTTGTACCCCCACCCCAGGTACAAGAAATATGGCACCCGGTGCTCCAGCTGCTGGCTGGTGCCCCGGAAAAATGTCCAGTCCAAGAGGCTATGTGGCAGATGTGGGATGTCCCTGGGCCCTCACCAAGGCCCAACTCAGGAAGGGTAAGCCCTTCCTCACCCAGCCAAGCCAGTCCTGCCTCAGTTTCTCCAGAGGGAGAATGGGCAGAGCCCTCCTAGGAGGGAGGGGAAAAGAACTCAATTCTTAAGGGATCCAGTCTGCCTCTTCTCTGCCTCTCTCTCCCACTCAGGGACCCCAGATGAAGACCAAGGCCTCAGGCTCCAGAGCCCCAGCCTCAAGTGGTCACTGCTCCTCCCTTGACTCCTGCTTCTGTAGGCGTGGCTGATCCTCCCCCTCACGAAATACTCTCAGCAGTGATATCCAGTGTTAATAACAATCACAATAAAGAGCAGTATTACTCAGAAGGAGCAGTGTAACTCAGAGATCCCACCTCGTGCACCCTCACCCACCTCTCCCTGAACCCTGGAATGTGGAAGCAGGTGCTTTCGCATTGGGGTTCTGAAGGGGGCACACACATACACAGACAGTTGACATGTGCACAGGTACCAACCCCCCACAGGGAATTGGCCATACTCACCATAGTGTCCCCTACAGGGAAACAGTCAGTACACACAGAAAGACACAAGACACAGATACACATTGACACTCTTGTCAGTAAAGACATACAGCAGACACATGTGATATTCACAGATGTCACACACTGGCACAGTGACACGTAGACAAGTAGGCCATTGACCTGTTGGCTCGACCCATTTGCAAAACGTCACCTTCCCACATTCTTATGCACACACCAAGCCCTGCTGTGTCGCTGCCTCTTCCCAGTCTCTCCCTAACCCTGGAAAAATGTGCCCTAGCCTAAGCCAGAAGCCACATGTGAGCAGCAGGTTCTGGGGCAGAGCTTAGTCCTGCCACTGTCACTGGAACACAGAAGCCACCAGTGCTCACTAGAGGGCATTTGAGGCTGGATGGGATGCCGTCAGGGTGGGACGATCCTTCCTGTGCAGGAGTTTGAAATTGCCTGACCACAGGCCCAGGGAACACAAGTCCTGGGAGCTCCTCCTTATCCTTTTTAGGTGAACTTTGGCCCCGATTCCTCAATCCCAGGATCCCCGACTCATTGGTTCTCACCGTTCCCAGCTCAGAACATCTCCCCATAGTTGTTCCCTTCTTATCACTTGTGGGGAAAGAAGCTCAGCCCTTATTTCTAGTCTGTGAGAAGCCTTCCTTGACCACTTAGTCTAAAATAGGCATTCTGCTCACACACAGCCTTCACCCAACGTGAGGCTCTAGTTTAGCTCCTTGCTGAGAATCAGGTCTCTTAGTGCCTACCAGAATTTTCAATGACCTGCTGATCCACAGTTAATGTAACTGACATTATTCTCCCCCACTGGATGATGTGGAGGTCCAAGGTCACCACAGTGTCATGACAGGCCTAATCAGAAGCTCCTTAGGGATACACAGAGGTTGAGATAGTGTGTCTGCAAATACAACTTCTTTTATCCACTACAGCAGCACCTATGAAGCAAGAACTATGCACCACACCCTAGTGTGGCCACTGTGTTGGAGAGTACAACAAAGACCCCCATCCTTCAGAGACAGTGTTCTAGGGTGACAGTAAAGAAATATTCAATTAAATTCCCAATAGAATGGTGATTGGTGCTACAGAGAAGATAAAGTATTATAAGGAAAACAAACTGGGAAGCAACCTTGCCCACGGTCCTCTGAGGAGGTGATGTTTGTGTAGTCCTGAGGATAAGGGACTAACCAGGGACTATTTGAGGTGACTACACTCCAAGTAAACACAATGGGGAGAGCAATGTCTGCATGGCAGGCAGGACTTTGTGGAGGTCAGAGAAACTATAGGAGGCTGGTGGGAGTGGAGGGAGAGATTCGAGGCAGGACAGCAAGGGCTGCTGCAGGCTTATGACTGGTTGTCTTGAGAACCTGCCTGCACTAGTGAGACTCCTTTTCTGCTCTCACTTTACTCACTGATGTTTGCACAGGGTGGCTGATGGTGCTTGAGCTGTCCTGGCGGCTGCTTCTTTCCAGCACTCTGTGTTCCTGCTTTTGAGGGGGTGGGGATGGAGAAAGGAGGCCCAGCTGTTCTTTCCTTATGCTCTATATGCTGTGAGAAGAGGGTGAGGGGGGCGGTGGTGTGAAAGGGCTTGTGGCTGCTCTGAATCGGGACACACCAAGTGGAAAGGAAGGTTGGGGGTTAGCCAACACAATGGTGGACACAGGTTGGAGAAGACCTTGAGAGTGGATCAGGGGTACACCCTTTAATGCTGGGAGGGGGGGAGAAGAAATATGCTGGGGGCACCCAAAGCTGCCCCCACAACCATGGTGTATCTGTCCTAGGAGAGGCTTCAGGGGAAGAGCCCGAGACCCAGACCCCCGGGCAGGGAGTTCCTCCCTTGTGAGAAAACGGCTTCAGCTCTGCCTGGAATCAGGAACTGAAGAAAGCACCGGAGCTCCCACCCACAAGGGTTAGCCTGAGTAGAGGGCAGTGCTGGGCGGAAGAGATAAGTGCTGGTGGGGAAGGAAAAATCCAATTGCCCCCACATCTGCCCAAGGTCCCAGGAGAGCAGGAAACCGAGCCTGGCACAGAGAAAAGCTCCAGTGAAAAGATAGTTCAAACACACCGTGGCTGACACACAGTAGGCCCTCAAAAACAAAACACGTTTTGAATGAATGACTGGTAGCAACAGAATTTGATTTCTGGGCTTCAAATACATAGCAGAGACTGAAGCAGACAAACCCTGAGTCCTTTATAAAAACTTTATTGGGGTGGGTAGAAAATTGGGGTGGGCCCCTGGAGTTGAATAAATAAATGAATCAATAAATAAACAATAAATAAGCCCCCGGGTGCATCTGCGGGGCATCCCCCGGCCTGCGGGAGAGGGGAGCAGGCTCACGCAGATGTCAGCTGGATGGTGAAGACCTCGCCCCCTGAGGGCGCCTCTGTGTTGCGGGCTGCCTCGGTTACACCTTCCGTTCCCGCGCTCCCGCCGGCGCCACCCCCCGTGCCGTTGAGACACACGGCTTCACCCGAACTCTCGGCCTCCTGCACGTTATACTCGCCCTTCTTGCACGCTGTGGACTGCACGTAGAAGGCCAGGCCAGCCCCCGCGGCCAGCAGCGCAGCGCCCCCTGCTGCGCCGCCCACTGCGACCCACAGCCACGGACCTGCGGGGTGGAGACCCTCAAAAAAGTTGGAGCTCAAGGTTCCCCCACTCCCAATGAATGAATTCACGATCTGAGCCACTTCTGTACCTCTCCTATAAGCATGAGGTCCGCCTCCCTGTGCTGGACTGGGAACCCCAAGGGAACTCAGTCCCACTTTAGGAGTCAGGAGAAATCCCAGTAAAGCCTGCCCATGATGGTGCGACTCCAGACATGCTTTACAAGTCACCTCAGCACGTGCGGATATAAACCCCTAGCACCACAGATACCCATAAGTCAACCAATGCACCCCCAAAGGGTGAGAGTTGGCGGAATGGATCCCTCCTCTACCCCAGAGAGATTCCAGTCCCCTACTCGAAGTAGACACCCATGCTCTTCCCTTAGTCTCTCGCCAGCCCCCCTTTTCTGTGGCAACGCAGCAGGTGAGCTGGTTCAAATCTCCATAGTAGAGAGCCCACTCTATGTCCTCCCGCAGTAACCACAGCCCTGAAGCGCCCCTCCCCTTCCAGGGGAGTTCCAGTCATTTCTTCCCCGCACCTCCCCCACTCCACCCGTATCGCCCCTCCCTCCAGCCTACCATCAACAGCCACACACCCCTGCTCCCCAGTCAAGATTCCCCTGGATTCTACCCTGGCCTCTACCCTGACCTACCTCAGTCTCTGGGGTGGGGGTTGAGAAGGATATAGGGGGCGGGTCAAGCCCCCGAGGCTCAAGGTCACGCCCCTCTACTGATCCCTCGCCCCGCCCTCCTGTAGCTGCCACTTACCAGCGACGCGTACGGTAATGCGCCGCGCGTGGCGCCCGTGTGCGTTGGTGGCTTCGCACTCATACTCGCCTCCGTGGCTGCCAATAGCTCCCGCCACGCTCAGCGTGCTATTGTTGCTGGACAGGCCGATGTTGGGTGCCCCCGGCGGGGCGCGCCAGCTGATCTGGGCTGGGGGCCATGCCTCTGCACGGCAGGTTAATGTGAAATTCCCTCCTGGCCTCACTCCTCCCGGGGGAGAGGCGGCCAACTCGGCCACCACCGGCCGGTCTGCAGGGATAGGAAATTGGAGGGGTCCGCCAAACCGTTGACCAAGTATCTTTCTGCTGGCCACTACCCCCCCATCTCAGAAGGGTAGGTAAGGATTCTCCGCTCTCGCCATCAGAACCAGCATCCCCTATAATATGTGTTGCACTGACTAAAACCCTGAGGTCTCCTTACCAAACGGACTTAGGCACCTGTAGCAGTGCCCTTCCCACCCAGCATTTGAGGGGTCTGATTTCTGTTTCCTAGAGTTTCTATTGTCTTGAGATTTTAGCTGGAATTCCCTATCCCCAGGATGGGAATGAGGGAGGTGCCCTCAAACCCCCATGGGCAGTCCTACCGCTGAAGTCACGGTTCTAGGGACCAAGTGCCTTCAATCTGGTACTGTTCTCACTCACATTCCACGCCCACGGTGACGGTCCGGGCATCCGTGCCATGGACATTGGTGGCCAAGCAGCGGTAGGTGCCCGCATCCTCTCGGGACACTCGCTGTTGCTGGGGCCCTGATGCTCCCTCTCTCGAGCAGAGCACTTGTGGGAAGGGATGACCCCGGGCTGTGCAGGTCAGTGTTGCAGCCTCAGACCCTTCCAGCCACGACTGGTGACTTGGGCAAGTGGACTCATCCATTTGCGGTGGTGCTGCAAAGCAGCCACAGGAAAAAAGGTCAGGGAGAGACCTGGAACCCCGACCCCCTAAGCCCCACCCACCTGGGCCCCGCTCACACTCCGAGCTCACGGCTACCGTCTTGACCATGGAGCCATGTGGATTGGTGGCATTGCAGATGTAGATACCGGGTGCCAGATCACTAGAGATGCTGGGGACTCTGGGACTAAGGTCTGGGGATGCAAGTGGCAGCCGCACCCCATCACTGAGGCCCCCGGAGCCGATGCATTCCACAATTGGTTCTGGTTTACCATCCACCTCACAGGAAAACAGCTGTCCAGACCCTTCTACCCATGTCCAATTGCTGGGGCAATTCAGTTCCTCAAAACTGGGTCCATCTGGGAAGCAGGGGGGTCACACAGGGACTGGAAGTCAGTCTAGGGTTTTGATATATTGCATCTTGCCCCGTATTTTCCCCACTCACATTCCACTGTGACAGCTACATTTCTGACTGCAGAGCCTCGAGCATTGGTCGCTTCGCAGCGGTAAGTGCCTGCGTGCCGTCGGGCTACACGTAACAGACCCTCCATGACCTCCCCAGAGCGCGTACAGCTTACATTGGGCTGCGGGAACCCCTGTGCTACACAGCTCAGCGAGGCCTCCGTTCCTTCCAGCCACGTAATGCGTTCTGGGCAGCCCTCGCTGTCCAGCGCTGGTGCGTCTGTGGAGGGGGGGGGAGGGACAGTGTTGTTGGGTTCAAGACTTGGGGGCTGGTCTAATGTTCCTAGATCCGTTTTGCTGTCCCAGAAAAAAGCCACTTTCCCCAGGAAGGTTAGTACAGCCTCTGCCCAGCAAACGGATGCCAAACCAAAGATGTTTCCTGCTAGCCAAGCCATGGGCGTTGTTTAGCCCTGAAGGACGCTTTTTGCTTGATCCCTACTAAGCGTCCGCAGGTGGCTTCCCAGTCTTTAACCTGAAAATTATTAGATGGCTTAGAATGCTCCTTGCTAAGACCCTGCCCAAAGCCATACCCCTGACCCATGTGAACACGTCTCTCCCTCCCCCCACCTTCTCCACAATCTCAGAATCTCACTCATGCGGCTCTTTCCTTTTCCCAAAATCCCTCCCAAAGGGACACCTCAGACCCTATTCCTACTCTCCCCACGAAGCTAACCACTCCTAGACCCTGAGAACCAAACAGTTGCGCCCTGCGGCAACCCACTCACATTCCACAGTAAGGGTCACCTCCTTCACAGCTTCGCCCTGGATGTTGGCGGCTGTGCAGTGGTAAGTGCCAGCAAGCGCGCGAGTAATGGGACCCAGCAGGCCCAGCGCCAACACAGCCCCGCCGTCTGGCCGAGCGCAGTGCACCGAAGGTGCTGGGTTTCCGCGGGCCTCACAGTGCAGCGTCTGTTCTGGGCCTTCTGGCCATGTCCAGTTCCTGGGACAATCTAAATCGTCCAATCGAGGGGCGTCTGCGAACAGAGGCATAAGTGAATGAGGGGCTAAGTGTGAACAGGGAGGAAACGTCCTACTTCCAAGACAGGTCAGTAACCGAGCAGGTCCTTAAAGTCACGAGGAAGGATAAAGGTCAACTCACATAGCACATGCAGCTCGGCGCTCGCATTCTTGCTCAGCGTCTCCCCGTCCACCTCTAGGGTGGCATCGCAGAAGAAGCTGCGCCTGTCGTCGTTCTCTGTGGCGTTTAGCTGGACCTGGACGGGCTGCCCAAGGGCCGCGGCTGGAACTCCGTCCAGTGTGACCAGGGCTCCAGGCCCGGCAGTGCATGTTACTGTCACCATTTTCCCCTCGGGCACGCTGGGATCGCTCAGGGTCAAGTACGGGGCTGGAAAGCCTAGGAGTGGGGCATTGGCCTGGAGTCCATTGACCACGCCCCTCCTGCAAGTCAAGACTGCCTCTGCCGCCGCCTAATGTCGGAGGGTGCATGCCAATGCTGAACTCAGTCCCCGCCCTCCTAATCCTGCCCCGGGATTAGAGACCTAGTCTCTAGGGTTCCTCTTGGGTCTGTGACCCTTTCCTTTAGGGAGTCTCAAACTGCCCCTCCAGGCACTGTGTCTCAGTCCTCCACCTGCTCCGCCCTCAGGACTCGCGGGCCACGCCTCTTCCGGTCGGAGGCCCCGCCCACCACCTGCTCCGCCCTTGCTTTCCTCTGGCCCCATCCCACACCCGAGCCGCTGTGGTCCCAGATCACTCTCTCTTACTATAGACGGTCAAGTTCTTTCGAGTCTCGCGGCTCTTGCCCCCTAGGGTCACGTTGCAGACCAATTCCCTGGGGCCCTCTTGCTCTGCGCTCGCTATCGCGGTGGCAGTGGCCATTAACACATCCCCGTCGACGGTGATATCGGGACTCAGCCTCTGGTCCCCCAGCGCCAGGTAGACCTGAGCCTCTGAGGCTGGAAACAATCCATCCAGAGTGCAGTTCACAGGTCTTTCTAAGTCCACTTCCAAGAACCGGGGGACGGTGAGGCGCGGGGGATCCGGAGACAGCGCTGGGAGTAGAACAGAGCTTGAATGGATTTACTGAACTCTAAATATGTATTAAGCACTTTACAAGCAATCTTTTATATCCGAAAGGCAGAGAGGAAAACAATTTTCAGCTGGTGACAGCACTGGAATAAGGAATTCTCTGCCTCCAAATTTCTTAAACACTAACCCGACCCTTCTTGATCCTCCTCCCCCACACCCACTTACCGAAGGTTCGGAGCTCTCTGGGAGCCGAGCTATTTTCAAACAGTCCCAGACCATGCGGCCGCAGGTCCAGCTCCGCGCGGCACGAGAAATTGGCCCTATGATCCTCCCTCCGCGCCAATACCGTAGCTGTGAGCACCGCGCCCCGCGCTCGTGGTGGCTCTCCTGAGAAGCTGCGTCGGATCAGCTCCTGGCTGCCCCGCAGTAAGGTCAGTGTGAGGCTCCCACGAGGCCCAGCGCCAGGGACCCTACAACTGAGGGTGAAGTTCTCGCCCACAGGCTGCCAGGCAGGTAGCGGCACCAGCTCTACGCGATCCGGACGCTCTGCAAGGGGGTGGGGGAAGTACCATGGCTCTCGGAAACTACAGGATGGGGGGGTGGGGGGTGGGGGAGAATGTGGTGTAGACTCCAAGGGCCAAGGGGAAAAGGGTGTGGGGATCCAGAGGATGGGCTTTGAAGAGGGGAACCCTGTCACCCAGGGGGGCGGTGTCTGGAAGGGAGGGAAAATAGTAAAGTATGAGCGTGGCCTCGGAGAACTCACGAAAAGTGCGAATGAGCCCACGCGCCTGCAGTGTTCGCCGCGCGCAGCGGAAGAAGCAGACCGGTTGGGTCTCTGGCTCGCGTATGTCCACCAGCTGCCGTGCCAGCCAGCGCAAACCCCTCTGTGTCCCATTCCGGCGCAGGGAGGTCTCCAGGCCACCGCGCTCTGGCCGTGGGCAGTTGGTGCTGCAATTCAGCCATAGAGATCCCCCGCGCTCCACGAGGGCCACGCGGGGCTGCAGGTCCGCCCAGAAGGGTTCCTGCGCAACTGCTGCCCAGGGAAACAAGGGCTCAGCCTGGGAAGCTACCTCCCTGAGATATTAGGGCCCCTATACCGAGTCAGGGATCCAGGGGAATGAGCAGAGGCGCAGCCTGGAAAGAACTCAGGAAGTCCTTCGTCCGGTTCAGACCTCGGGGTTGGGATGCACACTCCCAGGGTCCAAACCTCCAGGTATCCCTGGGACATGACAGCAGAAAACCCTGGTCTTCTAGGTGCCAATGGAACCATGAGAAAGCATGGGAAGGGAGGGAAGGGGTGATGAGAGGAAAAATGGGGTCTTGGACGCACGCACACAGCAACATTGGGAGGAGATGTCGGGTAGGGGGGGATGGGAAATGAACTGGTTCTCAGGGTTCTCGCGGAGAGAGGGAGATTGAGGTTGAAGAGAGGGCAGAGGTGGGGCTGAAGCAAGGGAAAAGGATCCCAAATCCAAGGAAAGAACACAGAAAGAGAACACGAGGCTGGGCTCACGGAAAGAACCGCGCGTATAGCCGAGGGACTCGGTTGCCAGGGTTCCGGGTGGAGCGGGAACAGCGCCTCTGTGTCACTGCAGGTTGGGGAGGTTGGGTCTTCGCAGACCGTGAGTGGGGAAGATGCCAGTCCATGGACCATGGTGCATATCAGAGCGTGAGGCGGTACCCCAGGAGGAGACAAGAGAGACTTGGGGTTTCCAGGATGCGAGGTTGGGTGAGGAAAAGCACCCAGGATCTCGAAGGGGGTAGGGTAGAGACCTGGGCGAGTGAGGAGTCGAAGCTGGGTCTCCAGTGCGTGTTAGGAGGAAGAGGAGTAGCGAAGGCTCCAGACTCAAGGTGGGGGTAGAAGCGTGGGAGCGAGGTGAGGGCGGAGCCGGGAGAGCCTGTGACCGCTTCTCGGGTCTGGGAACTCCGCCCCCGCCCTGTCCACCCCGGGCTGGGACCGGCTCTTACCTGAGAAGCCGACGAGCCCCAGAGCCAGGGCAGCCCAAAGGCCGAGCAGCGCCCGACGCAGCCCTGGAGAGGGCCCTGGCATCGCCGCCGCTGGGGAAGCAGAGGAGGCGAGGGGAGCGCGAGCGCCGAGCCGGGCTAGAGGACCGCGCGACGCGGCGGGTGGGGTGTGGAGGAGGCAGAGTTGCGCTCGGGGATTGGTTTAACGTTAGTAACTTGGTTTCCAAGGAGGGGGCGGTGGCAGAGGCGGCAGGGGGGATGGCGGGAGGGCGAGCGTGAGCCAGGCTCTAGGCCTTGGCGAAGGCTTGCTGACGGGAGACCCTTGGGTCTACGCGGAGGGCGGACTGGTCACCCAAGCCCTCTGGAGGTGCCGCGAGCTCCCGTGTCATATCCTAGGAGGTCGAGAACGCTAGTTCCTCTCCCCCCATCCCTTAGTTTATTTGCTGTAATGAGTTGGAGTCCGAGCTTCGCCCCCAGAGTTAGCTCCTCCCACCATCGCCCCTTGGGGCGGGGTTGATGTGGGGGGCTAGGAAAATGCACGATAGGGAAGGGACAATTCTAGGGGGGAAGTGTAGCGTTGCCTCTTTCACCGATTCTCCCTTTTGCAGTCCAAGCTATAGCTACAGATGCTTTCCCTTTTGAACCCCAGACGCGGAGGGTTACAGCCACTTGACTAGTTCCTCTCCGACTCCGCCCCGCACGCGACGGAGGGGGCGGGGACTAAAGTGTTGGCTAGTCCGAGACACGTGTGCTGCGCGCAGCGTTCGCTGGCGTCTAAATTAGGGTCGGAGCATCTCGGGGTCTGTATTTATCCAGCTTGCAGCGGGCACGTGCCTACTTGGCGTGTGTGAGCACAAGCCGCCGAAGAGCGCCCCTGGATTCTCTTTTCGAGCGACAGACGTGGCCTTGTTCTGCTCGAGCCTTGCCAGGCGTACAGTGCGGGGCCGGATTTTGTGTCCACGCCACGCATAGACGCCAGCTGAGACTCTGCACCACGCATTCGAGCTCCAGGAAGACTATCAGGACGTTAGCAAGACTCGAGTCTGTGACACTCTACATTGACCATTTTGTTCCTTCCTCGCAGTCATCACAAGTATACCTTTTCTGTGTATGCAAATCTCCTAATATGTCCATATGGCCACATCAATTTGTGCTCCAACCTAAGCGCTAATGGTTAACTATAGTATCACTTCTCGCCCCACCCAGCCCTCCTGGAAGTTGCAGGGTCTAAAGGAGGGGGGAGGGTGGCGGATGGGGACCGGAGCTTAACATCCAATCAGAGAGGCTGCGTGGTACAGGAAGAGCCAATAGGTAAAGCCAAACCGTGAACCCGGCTTCCCATAAACCCAAAGCTCACAGGGCCCAAAGCTTTCTTTGCCTTTCTACACCATGCTGATAATGCCCGCAGAAGACGTTTCACTACACCAATTGGGAATGCAGAAAGATTGGTGCTCTGGGCACCCCACGTAGACTACCGAGAGAAAACCTCAGGTGTCCTCAGGGAGACAAGGAGCTGGAAGAAAGCGATTGCAGTGAATCCAAAACAGGAAACCACTACCTCTGAGGAGGTGTACTAGTGGGGAACCATCACGCTGTAGTATAAAGGCTGCCTGTGGAAGGCTTTATTGAGCTGGGCACGGTACCCCGAATTGTTCGAATTTCTTTTTCTTCCTGCTCAGCCGGTATGGATCACCTCTCTATGTCTGGGACTGTGTCAATAGGCACTTTCGAAGGTAGGCAACGCCAATAACGAGAAGGATCCCCACAAGGGCTGCGATGGAGGTGAAAGCCAAGGCTTTGGATGCGGGGTGCCAAGCTGCGGGCAGTAGGTGAGAATTAGGAACCGAGCACACTGAGGTGTGACGACCTGCTTAGAGCGCGTCCTTGGCCCCTCTTGGCCCACAAGGTCTTGGTTCCTACGTTTTTCTCCCCACCCTCCTCACGTCCCAGGATTGCAGGGAAACCTTACCGAAGGCTGTCAGAGTTATGGGCGCTGAGCTGCTGCGTATCACCAGGCCGTCGAGATTGAGGCGTGCGTGGCAGGTCACGGGCAACCAGGAATCGCGTGGCTCGGTGGATAACACGTAAGTTAGTGTTACGTTGGCTAGATCCAGGCGCGTGAAGCGCTCCAGGCTCTCGGAGTAGATGACTCGGCCACCGCGCCTCAGAGTCACCACCAACAAGCCCACGGGGAACACGTGTGTCACGTGGCAGCGCAGGGTGTATTCACTGCCCACTAAGACGGGAGGCTCCAGGATCACGCTGCGCGGCACCTCTAAAGCAAGAAGGGATTGCGTCCGCGGGCGCCCCCTAGCAGCAAACCCCTTCCGTCTCCCTCCCCTCGCCGGAACCCAGTTTAAGACCCTGGCCCTCACTGTAGGTGGTAATCCTGGCGGTGGCACCCCGCGTTTCTCCTGCGCAGGTGACGAAGCAGTGCACGTCGGAACTCCAGGCTTTCAAATCCAACAGCTGGTAGGCTACCCAACCCCGCCCGCTGAGCGTTTTGCCCCTCAGCAGAAGGGTGTGGAGGCGGAAAACCTCTGGAAGGGGGCAGCTGCTGCTGCAGTTGAGCCACACTGAGCCCCCGGGGGGCACTGCTGTGAACTCCGGGCTTAGACGCACCCAGAAGGGAGCTGGAGAGCTGCCACGCAGAGCGAGACCTTGTGCTCCCAGTGCCCGGCGGCTCCTCCGCGCTCTTCCGCCTTCGGGATAGGCGGCCACTAGTAAAATCAACAGCGAGAGGGGAAGCAGAGACCCCATGGCAGAAAGCCCAGACTGAGGGGCCCAGCGCCAGAAAGCAGACTGGCTCTGGAGATAAGGAGAGCCGTAGGACCGCCTCCTCGGCCCCACCCGCAGAGACAGAGGCCCCTGGAAGGCTCACAAGTCCTCCAGTACATACCCTTCTCAAGAATTAAGAGTCCAGATCCCATTTGAAAACAAACGTCACATTTTTTTTTGGGTAAGAGCTCTTTATTTCCGCTAGTTTCAAAATGTCTTGACAAGCCCCAGATTTGGATTAGGGCCTCAGAGCCTGCAGCATTTTCTTTGGAGAGGAAGTGGGAAGGGTTATAGCAGGGCAGCTAGAAAGGGTTCCAGCTGGACGGGACATCACCCCTCAATTCACACAAGGCTGGGGGAGAGGAAAAAGCTTTCCTAGCATAAGGGAGAGGCTTCCAGAGTTGGTTACGGATCCTCCAAAGCCTCTCCAGCTCGCAGCCAGCAGGGCCCTCATCACTGCAGGAATTAGGAGCTGCCAGTGTTCTGGTCTTGCAGGGTCCTCTGAACTGGAAACAGAAGGGCAAGGCAGGGGCGCTCGGGAACTGACCAGTTTCATGACAGTGCCGAGGAATGGATACTCACACGCAGGGATGACACCAAAGCTCATCCTGAGTAGCCGCAGATGTGTACAGAACAGAGAGGTGGCTTAGCGGTCAGTGTAGGGCTGGGGGATAAGGGCTCAGCAGTTCATCCTGGGGGACAGTCACTTGGCTAACGGAGGGGACAATTCCAGCCCTCAGTCCAATCATTTTGCCAGGGACTCTTGTGAAGTACAGTCAATACAACTGTATCTGGCAACCCTGAATGAGACTAGACGGAGAGCTCCCTGTGTCTGTCTTAGCATTCTAGCCCACATAAAAGGCACTCAATAAATAGTAAAAAACCAAATGAATAAATATATGTCATCATCAAGAGTTGGGGACAGAGGACAGAAGTCCTGGAGCAAGCATCTGCCAGGCAAAGCAGGGGAGGGGGGTTGTGTTTGACCTGCATGTGTTTGCACGGGGCCACTTCTTTAGGACCAGGGCTGCAGCGCACACCATGGGGTGAATTCTGATGTTTCCCAATAGGGAGAATCCATGTTAGAGGTATGTATCTTCCTTACTCCACCTCTGGCCAGGTCAGACTTTGACATTCCTTTTATGGTCCTGCCCTTCCTCTTGGTTTAATCCTGTGGCTGTGGGTCAGGCTTGAGGCCTGGGTCCTAGGTGTGCAGGTGCCATGACTCCGAATGCTGACTGTATCCTGACTGAGGCCTCTATTCTGTCATCTGGTATCCTTGATGGGAATAGTTGAATGGCACATATCCACCACTGTTCATGTGGCACTTCGGCCACCAATAGGGGCTGAGGAGGAAGCCCTGTCCCGGGACAGGCTCAGGGTGGTGTGGCTGGCTTATTCAGCTTTATGGCCTCCTGAGCCTTCTGTAGCTTGTATTTCTGGATCTTCCGCTGGCGATTATAGAACCACGCAGCTAAGCCCACAGTAAGTACGAAGACTGTGAGTATCACAACGATGATCGCCACGTAATTCTGGTGGTCTGTGAGAAGGTTAGAGGGAGTGGTGAGGCTCAAGCTGGACTCCCCATCCTTGCCCCCACCCTGCCCAGCCCCAGCCACTGGCACACTCACAGATCACGGTCACAAGCACTTCACGGATGACCTCGCCCTGAGAGCTCACAGCACGACACCGGTAGCTGCCCTGAATCTCCTGCTTCACAGGCTTTAGTTCTCCGATGGGCAGCAAAGCTTTATCCCCATTCCGACGACAGTCCAGCATAGGGGGTGGGTTCCCCCAGGGCTGGCACTTTAGGGTCTGATAAGAACCTTCCTCCCACGTCCAGTTTCCCGGGCAATCACTCTCGTCCAGTCGCGGGCCATCTGCAGATATACAGCAAGATGATGGACAAAGTCAAGAACCATCCAGAACTGAAAGACTTAGGTAAGGCTACTGGGAAGTGTTGGGATAGGGATGGGCCTTGGAGGCAGGAGCTCATAGGATCTTAGGGGTTGGGTCTTGGATCTTAGGGGTCATTGTCCAGGGGTGCCACTCACACAGAACACGGAGTTCCTGGGTCTGGTTCTTGTACAGCACTTGCCCAGCTATATCCAGGACAGCAGAACAGAAGAACTGACGCTTGTCGTCTTCAGCCCTGGCCTTCAGTGTGAACTGGGCCCTTGAGGCTGGAGGGCCATCCGGGGCCCCACTCAGCACTGCCCGGAGTCCGGTCTGGGCCTTGCATTCCACAGTCACCCCAGTCCCTTCTGAGACCTCCATTGCACTCAGGGTCAGGCTGGGCGCAGGGAAGCCTGGAGTCAAGGAACACAGTGAGCCCAGCCCGTTTTTGGCTCCACCCCTCAAAAACCTCTCCCTGGCTGTACTTACTGTAGAAGGTCACAGTTTCTGCCTTCTCCAGGCTCTGGCCTCCCAGCATGACAGTGCACTTCAGCTGCTGCACACCCTCCTCCTCTACCTTCACCTGGACCCAGGCCATGAGCGCGTCCTTTTTGTGCTTGACTGTGGGGTGCAAACTCTGGTTCCCCAGGATCAGGCCGATTTCAGCCTCTGAGGCTGGAAATAGCCCTTCCAGGCTGCAGTTTACAGACCACTCTTTGCCCACTTCCACAAATTTGGGGGTAGCAAGGCTTGGGAGGGTCTTTGGCAGATCTGGTAAGAGAGGGTGGGTGTGAGCAGAGGGAGGGTCAGTCATCCTGGGGCATTTTCATTCCCCCACCTACAACCTCTGCTGTCTCCCTGTCCCAGGGCAGATAAACCCCTTATCCCAAGTCACCATTCTTAAAATGTCCTGCACCGCATCCAAGACACCCCACCCCAGTGGCCAAGAACATGTTCTTCCCAGAAACCTTACAATTTAGGTCACCACCTTCTTAGCAGCCCCAGCCAGCAGCCCATCCTTTCTAGGAATTGCACACCCCAGCCATGACCACAGCTTCCCCCCTGAGCCATTATTTTCTGCAGGATTCCCAATGCCTCACCGTAAGTTCGGAGCTGCCTGGGGGCTGAGCTGTTCTCCAGTAGTCCCAGGCCGTGGGGACGCAGGTCCAGTTCTGTGCGGCAAGAGAAATCGGCGCCATGGTCCTCTCTCTCCACCAGCATGGTGAATGGGACCTCAGTGGTTTTCCCTGCCACTGGCTGCCGTTTTAGCTCCTTCTCTCCTCGCAGCAGCACCACCGTGAGGAGGGCCTGGGGCGCCCCACCTACCACCTTGCAGTGCAGGGTGAGGTTCTTGCCCACAGGCTGCCAGAGAGGCAGGGGTGCCAGGTCCACAAGCTCAGGGAAAGCTAGAGGGTCAAGTGGGGGAGTAGAGTGTCTTGTGAGCTGAACAGGCTGTCCACCTGCAGAGGGCGCTGTGGTGCTAGCCACACCTGCCCAGGGAACCTCACCACTCCCCACCTCCACAAAATACACCCCAACCCCCCTTAAACCAGATGCGAAAGTTAGGAGCTTCAGAGAAAACCGATCAGAAGACCTCCAAGGGGTTGAAACAGGAACAAAACAATTCTTTACTTGCAGCAGCATTTTTTTTTTAAGATTTTTTTTTTATGTATACAGAAGTGGGGTACAGGCCAGAGGTGCAGGGGTGGTGAGAGGATTCACCAGAGGCAGAGCAAGGAACAGAACAGGCAGATCGAGGAAGTATACTGCTGACAGGAGCAGCGGGCAGGTCAGGAGGTCTCCATGCCATGTGGGTCACCTCCCTGGCCTGGGATCACAGTGCTGCGCTTTAACCCGTTGTGCCACCAGGGAGGGCCCCAACTTGCAGCATCTTCTAAGAGTGAAAAGGAACCTCAAGGTCTATCCCCAGGTATCCTGTTAAATTAATGCAGTAAATTTTGCAATCCTAAAGGCTAATTGCTTTTAAAAGAATCCTTTCCCCCTTCCCCCTCTTCTTGGCTCTATTTCTTTTCCAAAGTACTCCTCACCCCCTGACACATTAGACCACTTATTAAATTAGCTTGTTTCTCCTCTATTTCCCCAATAGTAGGTCAACCCAGGAGGGCAGGGGTCTTGGCATTGTTCTCTTAGGGTGGCTGGTACACTACACTCTTTATGTGTAGAAAGAGTAAGACCAAGCCACTCATATTGATGGCAGGCTTTTCAGGAGTCTGCTTTTAAGGGGAAAAGAAGTTTCAGAATGTGCACAATTCCCTGAAATGTTAAAAATATAAGAATCACTCATAGATGCTCAAAGCACAACTTAAATTTCTCACAAAACACATTCTCTGGGCTTGATTTTCTTAGGTAAGCATCTGCATTCTGCACCAGGTAATAGAATTCCAAGCCTGGAAAGCTAGTCAAAATTTACAGCAGAGCACAGGTGAGCTATGCCTAGCACTGAGCCTCCCCACGGAACGGTCTTTAGGACACCTGTTCCTTATTCCCTTCTCAAGAGACTCTGAATGGCCACTCTGTGATGCTGTTAAAGTGTCAACAGCTTGATTCTTAGTTTTATTGTTTCTTTGCTATGGGTTGTGGGCCTGTGACTTTGCCTCTGGAATAGTCTTAGGGTTGCAAAAACAAAGCCTCAGTTTCTTTAGCTATAAAATGGATTATTAGGGCTAGGGCTATTAATAATTCAGTTGAGAGGTTAAAAGTGTGACTGTGAGTAAGCATGAGGTTTCTTTTGAGGGTAATGGAAATGTCCTGCAACTAGATTGTGGTAAAGGTTGTACAGCTCTTCAAATACACTAAAATTAATTGCATTGCACACTTAAAAGGGGTGAATTTTATGGCATATAAATATTTCAATAAAACTATTTTAAAAAATAAAAGGCTGATGGGGTCTCCCTGGTGGCACAGGGGTTAAAGTCTCAGCACTATCAAGCTATCTTGCAGCATGAGTTCAATCCCTGGCCAAGGAGCTGAGCCACAAGGCGCAGCAGCCCTCTGCTCTCGTGCCTGCTACTCTCCCAGCAGTCTGTTTTAGTAGATCGCCTGTTCTGCCCTACTCTGTCTCCAGTGAATCCTTTCACCACCACAGCTCTGGCCTGTACCCCAGTTGCTATGTGCACAAGTAAATGAAATAAAATCTAAAAATAAGGCCAGGAAAATCTTCACATCTAACCAGCTCCTGCAAAAACTTAACCTTGAGAACCAGAGGCGCTCTCAGGCCTCAACAAGTTCACACCCCTATGAATTCACAGCTCCTTGCCCTGACCAGATTGAAGGAAGAGGTCTGTTTTGCCTTTACCTCTTCCTCACTGCTATCCCTCAATCTCTTACCAAGTCCTGGTCACAAAATTCTTCAAAGCAAGTAGTATTTGCTTGTCCTTCCCTTTACATCATGGTGAATACCCACACCCCCAGCTGTTCTCTGGCTTCTCAAGTCCAGCTTCCCACTATCTAGATGCCTGGCCTGCTCACACCCCCTCCATGGCTCCCTATTACCTTGAGAGCAAGGTCTCAGCCACTCAGCAGCCAGCCTCAGCTCCAGGCATATCTATCTGTTGACCCTCAGCCCCTCCTCCCTGCCCAAATCCATATCAGCATATTTCCCACTCCACATTTTCCACTGCTCAGATGCCTATGCAGCATCCTTCGAGGCCCAGTGGAGTTACTTCCTATAGTGATAACTATTCTAAACTTTCTTAGAGAAAGCTCAGCCACTCAGGGTTACTCCCTGGGTGCAGCAGAACCATGCAAATTCAGCATCCAAAATCATAAAGGAATAGTGCAGACTCAAACCAAGAGCACTGGACTTTGAACTATTAAATCCAGAGTTTTCCCCGGGGTTTTCAGAAGCCACCAGGAAAGTTTGGGGATTTTCCTCATCCGGTCAAGCAGCTACTCAAACATTCTCTAAGTTAAAGCAAAGCTTATCTTTCCGTGAAGGGTTCCTTGCCAGCACCATAAATGGTGATAATGTCTGTCATGCCTCAGTGCATTATCATACCCTGAGACAGTCCACTGTCACTGAATCAGTGGGAAGCCATGTCCTCAACAGTCAATGGGGCTGACAGAGGCCAAGGTAGAACTAGAACTCAAGGAACTCAGGCATGGGTGGTCAGTTCTCTTTCTTTCTTCTTTGTTTGTTTTTTGTTTTGTTTTAATTTGCATTTCATTTACTTATTTTTATTGCCCATGGCAACACAATTCATTCAGACAGTTCAGAACGCCCCAAGTTTAAAAATAAATAAATAAAAATAAAGGGACACTGAGAAAACCCTGGCCACTTCCAGAGTCCCCTGCTTCTTTCCTTATACCCAACCAGTGACATCATTTCTTGCATTTCCTTTCAGGGTTCCTATATAAAAACAGCTTCCCCACCTCACCCTGCTCCTTAACACAGGCTGGCCTGCTGCCCATTCTAAGGACACCCTACTTCTTTGGAACTTAACGGTATACCTTGGAATTCATTGTCCTTTAGGACACTGGAGCTTCCTCAATCACTTACTCTGTTGCATACTATTCCATCATGCAGTAGAACCAGTGTTTACTTCTCTGAAATTTTTTGCTTTTCCAAATAAAGCCACAGTGGGCAACCCTGACTCTCCCTCAGTTCTCCCACGTGTGTGGACAAATATGAGACTAATTCCCAGAAGTGGGATGCCTGTGTCAAAAGCACTTGCATGTGCCATTTTAGACCCAAGGCAATGGTTGTGTTCTTTGTGCTCCCCCACCACGGGCAGTGTCCCCAGACCAACAGCATCCCACAATCTTGCCAGTACAGCTGTTACCAATTCTTTTGATTAATGCCAGTATGTGAGAAATGCAATCTCTGGGCTAGTTCCATTTACATCTTTTTTTTTTTTAAGATTTATTTATTTATGTATAAAGAACTGGGGTATAGGCCAGAGGTGTGGGGTGGTGAGAGGATTCATCAGAGACACCGTGGGGAACAGAACAAGTTGACTGACGAAGTACACTGCTGAGGGGAGCAGTGGGCGGGTCAGGAGAGGTCTGCCGCGCCATATAGTTCACCTCCGGGGTGGGGATCAAACTCATGCTGAAGTGGCTTTAGCTTCTTAGTGCTGTGCTTTACACCTTTTCTAAGAGTCAGACCTAGGGTTTTGCCACTTGCTTAAAGAGTGAGACCTGACAGCCAGCATTTTTGAAAGTGCCGAATCCCTTCTTATAATATAAATACAATCATGGAAGTTCAAAGAGGAGGTTCCAAATGACAGTGAGACCCTCCCTGACCCTACCACCAAGTGACAAAAGTTGTCCCAGTCTGCCAGGGACGCCCATCTTCCCACACAATATCCCAAGCTACTCACAGTATACAGAGAGGTTCATTGAAGCTATCGACTGCTTATTATCACAGTTTGAGAAACATATTGGACTGCTATCTTCTTGCACATCACTCAGTAGAAAAACCTTCCAGTTATCCCCGTTGGTCAATTCCACCTTAGTCAACTGAGTCTCCAGACCCAGGGAGTTGCAGGAAGCACTGCAGTTCACCTGCACAGAGCCTCCTTGAGGTATAACAACATTTTTTGGGTGCACAGATACCTGGGTACCTCCAGCTCCTAGAACAAAAAGGTGAGGAGGGGATAGGTATTACCAGTTGGGTTCCTCAACATTACTGGAGGCCCAGCCTGTGCTGGCTTCTGGGCCGTACATAACCTTGAACATGACAAAACTCTGCCAACTATGTGGAAGACAGAAAAATTCATGAACAAACAAGATAATTAATAACTGATGTTAATGAGAACTTTGACAAAAACAAAACAGGGTGGTAGAACAGACAGTGCTTTGGTGACAGCATAATGTGTGAACAGAAATCTGAAAGATAGGAAGGGGACCGGCCACTTAGATAAAAAGGAAATGAATTTCAGGCCAAAGTAACAAGTATGGGTCCAGAGCAGAAGCAGAATGAGAAAGATTGGGGAAATGAGGTCAGAAGTCAGGAACTCAGGCAGTGTAGACCACGCCAAGGGTGTGTTCTGAGGGCGAGCCATAGAAGATTTTTAGCAAAGGAGGGACATGAAGCCAGTGTGCTTCTCCCTCTCAAGAGGTCATGTAGAGGGGTGACAGGGGTGAGGTATTCCAGAGATAGAGATGTTCCAATCAGTCTGGCTCCTCATTACCTTGGACAAATGTTCTCTCCTCTCTGCTCAGTTGCCCCATCTGTAAGATGGGTGAATATAGACACCACTGCTAATGTGGGTAACTTTTAGTACAGGAAATGTAGGAGGGCGGCTTCAGGTAAAGAGGGAGGTTATTCTGACCAGCTCTTTCATGAAGAACTCTGAGCTTCCAAAGCTAAAGACTGTGTGCCTCAGAGCACCCCACATTCTCCGCCCGCACCCCCCTCCAAGGTTTCTGCCTTCCGCTTTGAATCTACTCTATCTGGGATGGAAGTGTGTGGCAAAACACAGGGCCCATCCATGGATGGTCCCGGGATGATTCTGGAATCATTTCCATTTCACAGAGGGAAATGATGAGGGGTGGCCAGGGGAGGTTACTCAGCTAGAAGGCAACAGACTCCAGAGCCAAATGGAGATCCTTTATTGGTATTAATTCTCAACATAACCACCACTTCTCACCCGCTGTCTCACTACTTGCCCCTCCTCAGGCTGGAGCTGGTGGGAGGTTGTTGGGGCAGCCCACTTCTTAACTGCTGGTCCTTGGTCAGCCCTGGAATTCCCCTTAGTGAAGCAGTGCTGGACTTCCCCAGGGCAGGGGATAAAGAACAGAATGTGTGTGTTGAGGGTGGGGGGAGAAAGGGAGGGGTTCTCCAGCCTGCTCTGCTGGCCCAAGACCATGTACCCACACCATCTGACCACCTCGTGGGGTCAGCTCACACTGGACCCTGTCACAGACGTCGCAAGGTGGCCGCTATTGCGTTCCCCATTTTACATTTGAGAAACTAAGGCTCCAGGAGGTACAGCCTACGACCCCGGCCACAGAACAAGGGGATTCAGGGTCTGGATTCAAAGCTATCCCTATTGACTTTCAATCGGTGCCCCTAACTCAACTTCCCAAGAAGTTACCAAAGTACGAATGACCTAATCCTCAGGTAGCTGGTAGCGGGTCAGATGACCAGGTGGCTGCCACCACCCTTCACTCACCTGTGAACAGAACCCAGAGCAGGGCCAGAAGCTCCGGCAGCGTGAGACAACTGGTTCCTGGGGCCATGGTGGGTCGGGGCAAGGGAGATCAGCGGCACCAGAGCGCAGAGGGAGCGGCTGCACTGGGGTACGGTCCGGCGCGTGAGTTCTTTTTATAGTCTAAGGGGCAAGGGGCGGTGCTGCCTTCCCGGAAACCCCGCTCTTTCCCCTCCGGAACCCGGGCTTGGGCATTTCCGGACTGGGACCGTGAGAGCCGGGTGGTCGCCGCGTGCTGGCTGCCGGTGCTGGCAGCGGAGCTCTGGAATTTACTAATTGAAGCAACCGCAGTTTCGCCAGCCGCTGGGTGGCGACCTGACGGCTGCTCCCAGCGCGAAGGGTCCCGTCCCGAGCCGGGCCAACCTTGATTCTGTGTTCACCCTGTACCAAGTGCTGCAGTGGATACTGCCAGCTACACCGGACAGTAAAGATTGCTTTTGTGACCCTTCCACAGAGGGATAAACTCGATAAGGCTCGAGTAGCGAGGGGATTCGAACTCAAGGCTAACTCCCCCGTTCATGCAGAATTGTTTAATGGAGTGGAAGACTCCTCGCGTAGGTAGGGGCTCGGGAACCTTTCCCGGGGGCCCTTCTTCTAGGGTGCCTCTCCCCCTAGGGGTATGTACCCTGCCCAGCTGAAGTCGAGATTTCCCTGGAAGCAGCTGAAGTAGGGGCTCGCAACTCCAGGCGGGTGAGGATGCGTGTGTCATCATTTCCGGGGATCAGCACCCCCCCCCCCCCACGCACAGATGCGTGCTCGGACCCCGCGGTCTTGCTTCCCCTTTCGATCAGCCTAGGCTCGGCCGGAGCGTCTTTGCAGCGCCCAGAAAGAGGAAGGAAGACGCCGCCTGACACTGACTCGCCAAGATCCCCTTCCCCCTCACACACACACCTAGAGTCCCAGGTTTCTCGGGGAAACTGAGGCAGTAGGCCTTGACGCGCGAAGTGGGGGAGCACACGAGCCCTTGCCTTCCGCAGAGAAACTGAGGTAGCGCCTTGGCATCGAACGAGGGCGGGGAAAGGAGCACGCAAATTAATTTTCTCCGTGCGAGACTGCAGAAATTCGAAATTCGAACCTGGGATGCCAGTATTAAATACGTGCAGGTTTTTCCCTGGCTAATTTCATTAGGGCGTCTGGGAAGGGGTTGTGCGCTGAGCATATAGATAGCCCGTCGATCTCCACGAAGGTCATGGCCTGTGCTTATGACTTTGCGACACGGCATCCACCACGTCCACCCTGGGGTCTCGGATCTCTGAGGCTTGTCCGCTAAGGCTTCCTGTTGTGCGGCGCGCGCCGAGTCGTCACGGAAACCTCAGAGGGGCCAAGGAGGTCGCGCAGCAGAAGGGGAAGGGAGGGGGCCCTGGGTCCTTCCTCCGGGAGAAGGGGCTGGGCGTCTCTCAGCATCAAGAAATGAGTCCCTCCCCGCCCCGATCGTTCGTAAGAATTTCCACGGGAATCTTTCTTGGTAGCAGGAGTTGGGGAGGGGAAAGAAAGAGTTCTTTCCCAGGAAGCCCCGCGTAAAGGTGCAGCGTGGGGCCCAGGGGAGTCACTGCGTTTTTGGAGGGTCAGGGAAAGTCCTGCGTAGGGGTAATTTTCCGGCGGATTTTTCTTGCGGGGAAGCCCCACGTGGTGAAGTGTGTGGGTAGCGAGCTCCCCCGTGCGGCCCAGGCGGGCTTGCAGTTAAAGCGTTATTTGGGCCCTCCCTGGTGTCACAACGGGTTAAAGCACAGCACTATGAAGCTGGCTAAGCAAAGAAGAAAACAAACAGAAAGTCCCGCCATCATGCAGGGGTTGTCTTAGTGAGGTGAAAAACAACAAACAAAAATATATGGAGTGTGAGCTTACGGTTTCTAAGGAAAAAAATCTCAAGCTAGAAAGAGAATAGAAATTCAAAGAGTTAATGAACTTCTAAGTAGCTTACTCTGGGAAGAACTGATTAAGACGTTTTAAGCAAGAGGTCGATGTGGAGGAAGCTCAGACAGTATCAGGGAGAGGACGCCAGGACAGAGCACTGATACAAATGTCCTCAGGTGGAAACAGCCTGGAGGTCTGTTTCAGGAGGGAGGAAGAGAGGAGGAGGAAAGGAGGGCAGAGCTTGTAGGTGTTTATTCTTCTGGAGAAGACTTTGGCTGTTCCTCTGAGTGGGAAGGGAGGCATGAGGGTTCTGGGCAGAATAGGGACATGGCCTCACTCAGGTGTTTGCATGTACCCTCTGGAGGAGATATGGTAAGGACAGGGTACAAGCTGGGAAGCCAAAGGACGTGACCACTCTCCCCCAGAAGATAGAGCCTGGGGGGAGGGGGAAGTAAACGTTTTCAAATGAACAACAATGTAAATAAATAAATAACTAAATAAATAACTAAATAAATATATTTATAAATAGATAAATTATATATATATATATATATATATATATATATATATAAATAGAGCCCGAACTGGCCCAGGAGAAGTGCTTGAATTTGGTAGGGACATTTAGATTTGCTGGGACATGGGGCAGGGTAGAGTTAAGGATGACTTCTTGGGCCAGCTCTGTGCCCCTGGGAGAATGTAGGGCAATTTACAGCGATGAGGATGGGATGGTAATGGCGGTGGGGGTGAGAGGGCAGGTTGTTGAGGGAGCTGCATACTTATAGTCCCTGTATGTCCTTGAGGAAAGGGAAAACATGTTCCACCACCCTTTGCTACAGCTTCCAGGAAGGGCAGGGCTTCCTCCAGGGTGCCAAGCAGTCTTGGTCAGACAGAGTATTGGCCCCATTGCAAAACAGAGGCTGTGGACTTGGGGCAGAATTCTCCGAACTCAGCCTCCTAGCGTTGCTTTCCCTCCACTCTGAGCCCTGGCATGACCACATTGCAGTTCCATCAATCTGTGATGCTCTTCTCCTTCACGATATCCCCTTTCTTGTGGCCTGCATCTCCTGAAAGTTTTCCTGAATGCCACTGCCCTCCATCTTCAAACACACACTGGTCATTCCCTATCACTTGTCCTAATGAGTTCATTACTAAAATTTAATTCATTTGCTGACTTTTTTTTTTTTTTTTTTTTACTTGATTGTCTCTGTTTCTGTCAGCTGCACAACATTTCAATCAAGGTCTGGCCATGATAGGCAAGGTATCTGTTGAGTAGATGCACTTCTCTGGCTTCTGAATATTTTGCACATGTTGTTCTTTCAGCTCAGAATTCCCTTCCCATTGATTTGAGGAAAGGTTTCCAGAACTTTTCATCTACAAATCCTTGACATACAGGGTTAGAATCGTAGAATCCAAGCAGAGGGGGTTTGAAACCAAGTTCTGGTATCAGCTGTTCTAGTTTAAGTTCCCCACAAAGCAGAGCCTGAGGCAAAACTTAAAGTGCAGGCAATTTATTTGGGAGATTGCAGGAAACACCTCAGAGATCAAGGGGTCAGGGAAATAAAGGTGAGCATTAATGGATTTCCCCTTTGAGGCTAACTGGGGTTCAGACTTATTAGGAAGCTCTTGGAGGCGGGTCGATCCTTTGCCAACCTGTCCCTCATGGAGTGAAAGTTTTTCCCACATGTGTCAATTTCCCAGTACTTTATATCCATCCATCCATCCATCCATCTATCCATCCATCCATCTGTCCATCCATCCATCATCTGTCCTATATCCCCAGGATTTATTTACCTTATAACTTAGAATCATCTTCACCTATTTCACACACCCATTATATTCCTCTTCTGGCAAGCACCAATCTCTGTTACTATAGTTCAAGAATTTTTTCAGGTTCCCATGTAAGTGAGCTCATACTGTATTTGTATTTATAGATATATGTATTTATCTCTGTCTAACTTATTCACTTAGTGTAATACCCTTAAAGTGCCTCTATGTTGGGCTCTCCCTGGTGGTGCAATGGGTTAAAGCATGGCATTATGAAGCTATATGAAGCCACTGCAGCACAAGTTCAATCCCTGGCCAGGGAGCTGACCCACATGGCGTGGCAGACCTCTCCTGTCTCGCCCGCTGCTCCCCTTGGCAGCGTATTTCAGTAGGTCTGCCTGTTCTGCTCCCCACTCTGTCTCTGGTGAATCCTCTCACCCACCACAACTCTGGCCTATACCCCAGTTCTGTTAGCAAAATTAAAATCTTTTTTTTTAAAGTGCATCCATGTTGTTGTATGTGGCAGGATTGCCTTTATTTTTAAGATTTATTTTATTTATTTATGCATACAAGAACTAGGCCAGAGGTGCTGGAAGTGAGAGGATTCACTAGAGACTGAATGGGGGAACAGAACAGGTGGATCTACTGAAACACACAACTGAGGGGAGGAGCAGACAAGCAGGAGGTCTGCTGTACTATATGTCACCAGGAAGGCCCTGTCTGTCTTTCTGTGATTGAATAATATTCCCGGTAAGGCCATAATTGATTTATCATCTGTTGTACACTGGTCTGTTTCTACCTTTGGTGCTATGAACAGTGTTGTAGCAAATATTGGCCTACATATATCCGTTCATGTCTCTGTTTTCAATTCTTCTGGATAGACTTAATTCCTTTTTAGAGATGCATAATATTCCACTGTGTGGCTAGACCACATTTGCTTATACGTTCATGGGTTGTTAGGGAGTTGGGCTGTCTCCATCTTTTCGCCATTGTGAATTATGCCCACATGTCTTACGTACAAATATTTGTATGAATATTTTCAGTGCCTTTGTGTTTACATTTAGGAATAGAGTCCAAGTGTAACCTTTTGAGTAGCTGCCAGACTATGTTCCATAGTGGCTGCACCATTTTGCATTCCTACTGGCAACAGACAAGCTTGCAAGCTTCCAATTTCTCCACATCCTTGCCAATGCTTAGTTTCTATTTCATTATTGCCATGCTAGTAGCTGCAAAGTGGTATTCATTGTTTCCCCATCCTTTACTCCTGCCCAGTGAACAGGCCTAGCATAGTCCTGCTGTGTGAGGAGCCAGGGGCACATGCAGCACAGCAAACATGGAGGGGAAGGGATTCGGTGCACCTCCAGAGGTCACAGCTGTGACCTCTAGCAAGCCCCTTCACGAGATTGGTCTTGAATGGTCTTCACTGTAAAAATAAGATAATATACCTCAGAGCCTGGATGT